AGACCTCTCAGCCCACAGACTCCAAAGACAACTTAAAAGGTCACCAGGAAAGTTCTGTGGCACCTGGGTAAGAGTGGAGTGCAGTTCAATACAGGCCATGCCAACATAGCCCCAGCCACAGTTGAGCAGGAGCAGGAAGCTACTGAATCAGAAGTGGCAGCAGCTGTTTCTGTAGCTCTCAGCCCACAGATGGCAAGGGGATCAAACATTGGTCAAATGAAGATTACAAGGGTCTCTTTGCTAGCACTGAGGCAGAACTCTGTTGCTTTGCCCATACTCAGATCAGGTAGCAGTCCTGGGTGGAAGTCCCAAGATGAGTAGAAGCACTAGGATAGCAGATTTTGTGGCTGCAGTAGAGGGGGTACCATCCTCGCAGTTGCAGGGCAGAAAAGAGTGCTTGTGGCTCCTCGCAGACCAGAGCGCAGGCCAGAAGAGTAATAAACGCCTCTTCTTAGATCATACCACCTTGAAAGAACTGAAAACTTACAGGTCCCAAGAAGTATCTCTGAAAACAGTTACACAAAACTCCTGAATCTTGGAACAGTAACCCACCACCCTGGAAGCAGAGCCCTGCTTTAACAGAGACTTAAAAGTCAACTAATAGGCTGAGAAAATGAGCAAACAATGGAAAAATACTCTGACTATAGAAAGTTACTATGGTGACAAGGAAGATCAAAATACACACTCATAAGAAAACAATAAAGTCAAAGCTTCTACATCCAAAGCCTTCAAGAAAAATAGAAATTGGTGTCAGGCCATGGAAGAGCTCTAAAAGAATTTTGAATATCAAGTAAGAGAGGTAGAGGAAAAAATGAGAAGAAAAATGAGAGTGATGTAAAAAAAAAATCATGAAAAAAGAGTCAACAGTTTTGTAAAGGAGATACCAAAAAATACTGAAGAAAATAACACCTTAAAAAACAGACTAGATCAAATGGTAAAAGAGGTCCAAAAAGTCAATGAAGAGGAGGAGAATTCATTAAAAAGTAGAATTGGTCAAATGGAAAAGGGGGTACAAATGCTCACTGAAGAAAATAATTCCTTAAAAATTAGAATGGAGCAAATGGAAGCTAATGACTTTATGAGAAATCAAGAAACAATAAAATAAAACCAAAAAAATGAAAAAGTAGAATACAATGTGAAATATCTCATTGGAATAATAATGGACCTTGAAAATAGATCCAGTAGAGATAATTTTAAAATTATTGGACTACCTGAAAGCAATGATTAAAAAAAAAAGAGAGCCTAGACAGTATCTTTCAAGAAATTATCAAGGAAAACTGCCCTAATATTCTACAACCAGAAGGTAAAATAGAAATTGAAAGAATCCACCAATCACCTCCTGAATGAGATCCCAAAATGAAAACCACTAGGAATATTATAGCCAAATTTCAAAGTTCCCAAGTCAAAGAGAAAATATTGCAAGCAAGTGGGAAAAAACAATTCATGTATAGTGGAGCCACAATCAGGATAACACAAGATTTAGCAACTTCTACATTAAAGAATCACCAGGATTGGAATATGATAATCCAGAGGGCAAAGGAGATAGGATTAAAACCAAGAATCATCTACCCAGCAAAACTGAGTATCATCCTTGGGGGTATGGAGGGGCAATGCATATTCAAGGAAATGGAGGACTCTCGAGCATTCTTGATGAAAAGACCAAAACTGAATAGAAAATTTAACTTTCGAATACAAGACTCAAGAGAAACATAAAAAGGTTAAAAAAGAAAGGAAAATCATAAGGGATTTAATAAGGTTAAACTGTTGACATTCCTACATTGGAAGATGATATTTGTAACTCATAAGGACTTTCTCATTAGGCCAGGTAGAAAGAGACAGACAGATCACAGGTGTGACAGAAGTCACAGGTGTGAGATGATTATGAAGAGATGGTATGTAAAAAAAAAAAAAAGTAAAATTAAGGGATGAGAGAGGAATGTACTGGGAGAAAGGAAAACGGAGAGGTAGAATGGGCTAAGTTATCCCACATAAAAGAGACAAGAAAAAGGTTTTCCTGTTCAAGGGAAGAATGAAGAAGTGAGGGGGAGTGAGTGAACCTTACTCTCATCAGAATTGGCTCAAAGCCAGATCTCCTGCTGTTTTTGGAGGTTGGGCTTGGCAGAGCTGAGCAGATGATGGAAGGCTGTGGCTACAGCTCTGGGTAGGGTGGTGGGGGAGAGGGGGAGCAGCAGTTGGTGTGGTACCACAGGAAGTAACAACATTTTCTGAACAGCATGGATGGAGTTATAACTGTGGCTTAAGGGAGGAGGAGAGGAGTCCCTGAGGTTGAGCCTCATGACAGAATTAAGAAAATAAAAGCAGTAAATAGAATCAGAAGCCTAGGGCAACTTTACCTACAACTAGGAATTAAAACTTGATTATAGTGATAATAATAATTAGCTGACAAAAATAAAATAAGACAAAGTAAAAATCAAAATGGGCAAGCAAAGGAAAAAGAACCCTACCATAGATAAGTACTTTGGTGTTAAAGAAGATCTCTGTTCATATTCAGAGGAAGATTGTGAGGTCAAAAAAGCCTATCTCACCCCAAAGAGTAACACCAAATGGTCACAAGCCCAAAAAAGAACTGTTGGAAGAACTTAGAAATGAATTTTATTTATCTATTTATTTATTTATTTATTTTTTATCAATTGGGGTTAAGTGACTTGCCCAGGGTCACACAGCTAGTAAGTGTCAAGTGTTTGATCTGAGGCCAGATTTGAACTCAGGTCCTCCTGACTTCAGGGTCAGTGCTCTATCCACTGTGCCACCTAGCAGCCCCAGAAATGAATTTTAAAAATCAAATGAAAGAAATCCAAGGAAATTATGAAAACAAAATTAACCAATTGTAAAAAGAGATACATTTTTATGTGAAAACTTTAAACAGCCATCATTTGATTTCATGATGTCAGATTGAAGTACAAATTATACTTAACAATATACTTTTTTTTAGATTATACATGTGTAGTCATGCAAAACATTTCCATAATAGTCATTATGTGAAAGAAAACATAGACCAAAAATATAAATAAACAAAAAAAAACCTCAAGAAAAATAAAGTTTTAAAAAAAAAGACTATTTCAATCTGTATTTAGGCACCATCCATTCTTTCTCTGAGGATGGATAGCATTTTTCACTGTAAGTCCTTTAGAGTTGTCTTGGATCATTGCTTTGCTGAGAATAGGCTAGTCATTCAAAGCTGGTCATCTTACATACAATACTTTGTACATAGTATATTTCACATTGCATCAGCTCATGCAGGTCTCTTCAGGCTTTTCTGAGAACATCCCACTCATCATTCTCCACGGGGCTCACTGTTTATTAAAGCAGTGGAGTGGCCAGGAGGTGCCTTACACTTCACTCAGGCCAAACCTCAAATCCTGGAATCTTCTCTGAGGTCCTCTCAAGATGTATTAGGAGGACAACTGCTTTACTCCGTTGTTTTTGCTGCTCTACATTCATTTTTGTGTCTGTTTTCTGTCTGTTTGTGGAGGAAATTTGGAGAGCCTAGGAATTCTGACCTACTCCACCATCTTCCCAGGATACCAGTCTTAATTTTCTCTATCATAAGTTTTTTTTAATCTGCTGCTGCCTATGTAACCTGACCTCTTATGATTAGCAGGTAACTTACTTAAAATTATTGTAATATATCTTAGAAAAGAATTTTATGGTCTACCTACCTCTTGCTCTCCTCCCTCTGTAAAACAAGCCTAAAAAAGTTTATTCATTTGAGTCATAGGATCATAGCCCAACCTTTCGATTTTGTAAATGAGGAAACTGAGGCCCAGCAAGTTTAAATGATTTGCACAAGGTCATACAAGTGGTAAGAACCAGAGGTGGAATTTGAATTCTGGTCCTCTAACTCCAAAAGCACATTCCTTTGTAGAAATGTGAAAAGAAAAACATCTATAGTAGTGTTATAAGGAAGCCTCACCATTTCTCCTCTCCCTTCATTTATCTGGGTCAGTTATCAACCATTTGGCCAGGTAAGTAAAATCACTATAGAGTTACCATGTGACCTTTCAAGGACCAAGATTCTCAGTGGAGGGAGTCACAAGTAAGCACAAAGGATTCCCATGTGTGGCATTCTGCCAGGACCAAGACTTTGAAGAAAAGACTGCCTTTGTATAGTGTTACTGTGTCTGGTCTCTCTTAATCCTTTTGGAATCCTGGGTAGAGTTTGTCCCAGCCTTGCCGTCTGATGTATAGACAAACGTAATTTTTATCTTTCACATCAAGTATCAAAATACAAATTAAAAGAGGGTGGCATTAATCATTATTAGCATTAACTGATATTATTGAACATACAGACTGTTCAAGGTGCTGAGCACTGAGCACTGTAGAAGACCCTTGGTGTACCAGAAGGAATTTACAGTTGAAGTAAGAAAAGATTGGATAGAAAAACATAAAGACCTTAGAAGTTAACATCTTTTAGACTGATCTTTGGGATGGGATGGGCTAAAGCAGTTGGTTAGAATTCTCCCCATTATTATTTTACCTAGTTCTGGAGAGGCTAATGACAGCAGTAAGTCAATAGAATTGAATTAAAAGCATAAATACTGACAAAGAGGAGATAAAATGGTCCTTATTGTGCAGACAATATGATGGCTTACCCAGAAAACCCTACACAATATACAGTTTCCAACAGGAAGAGTTGAAGTCTTAAAATTCTGGATAGACTTTTGTCTTTATATTGTTTGGGGAAAGAGAGGATGGAGAGAAAGGTACCCAAAGATTGAAGACAGAATTTGGGATAGGCTTTCTTCACCTGGACTTGGTCATGTGATTTCTAATGCTACTGTGAAAAAATGACCAATTATCTATACATTGCCACATTTGAACTTCACAAAAACTTTGTGAAGTGTGTATTATAGGTATTGTCATTCCCATTTTACAGTAAGAAAACTGAACCTTGGAGGAGTTGTGAGTTGTAGGTGATCACATAGCGAGTAAGTGTGAGAGGCAGGATTTGAACACAGAATTCTATGGACTGTATCACATGGCTTCTCAAATAGAATATATTTCATATGCATTTTCATAGAAATTTCCAATCCTTATTCTTTTTCTTTTTAATTTTTGAAAGGGGTTGGGGGAGTGATGAGAGGGTGAGGTAGAGTGAAGAGTCTTCTTTTTATGCCGTCAATTTCTTGGTTTCTTTTCCTCAGCATCAAATCTTGTTCTAGGCACAAGCTTCAGAATGATTGGCTTTTTGGGCTTCATAAAACCCCTTGTGTCTAACTCCAAGGGAATCTGTAGGGGAAAACAAATGGAATGTACTGAATTACTTGATTATTAATTAATTTTAATTAATGTTTACCAACTATATGCAAGGCACTAGGGATGCTAGGATATGCTAGGAGCTAGGGAATGCAAAGACCAAAACTTAACAGTCCCTGCCCTCAAGGAGTTTGCATTCTATTGAAAGGTAAACATGTTCAGACACATATGTGTGTGTATATGTGTGTGCATGTGTGTATATATAGAGAGAGGTGTGTGTGTATATATAGAGGGAGAGAGTGCTGTATATATATATATATATGTATGTATGAAAATTTCTTATGTGTGTGTTTATGAACACACAGAAAGAAAACATAAAGTGATTTCAGTGGTGAGGAGAACACAAACAAAATGAGGAGGGGTATTAGGAATGTCCTCAAGTAGGAAAAGCATTTGAGATAAACCTGGAAAGAATCTAGAGATTCCAAGAGGGAGAGTCAAAGAAGTTGTGCATCCCAGGGATTAGAAAAAGCATGTATGTGATAGGCCTGGGTAAGGATGTGTGGAGCCAGCTCCCACTGGCTCTGAGGATTGTGAAATTTTCAGTATGAGAACTTAACACTTCAGAAATCAGCAATCGCTACAAATCAGGACTTGATTTATTGTTTTGGTGATGGTCTAGACTTAAAATGTTAATAATGCAAACTAAACTTACATACATTCTGCCTCCCATGCCTGCCCAGTTATTAAACATTTCCCAACATGCTCCTTTATTGCTATATAAATGTGGCTTGAATCAGCAGTGTGTGGTTGGAAGCCTGGTGACTATAGGCTGATAACAATAATCATAATGATTATTATGACAATCATATATTGTTATACATTATATATTGCACATATAATAATGAAAACTACAACTGGCATTTACATAGCATTTTAAGGTTTGCAAAATGCTTTACAACCATCCTCTCATTTGAGTTTCATGACCCCCTTGCCTATGATTCCTTCTATCTCTGAACCAGTGTGGTCAATTCAGACAGGAAACTGAGGGCCACTAAGCCACAAATAAGGATACCTGGTGGCTACATATTGACTTATTTTCAAGGTATAATGTGATCTATGCTTTATTGCATTTTTATTTATTTTGCTAAATATTTCCCAGGTACCTTTCAATCCAGGGTATATATACATATATATTGTATACATATACATTTGCAAGTATGTGTACATATACACATATATACATATATACACATAATTTATTTTGTTAAATATTTCTTAAGTACATTCTAATCTGGAATTCAAAAAGAGTGCTGTGGGTTGCAAGGACCTTGTATTTGACACCTATGATCTGAACCCCTCTATGACTTGAACACTGCTCTCTCCAGCCAATAGAGCCCAGCTTGGTGGCTCTGAAGAAAGAATAAGAGGTTTTCTGGGAACAATCTATGACTGTGGTTATAAAGATCCCCTGTAGTTCTAAATTTCTACTCAATTCATTCTGAAAGATATTTGATTATTTAGTTAAATGCCTACTATGCATATGGCACAATGCTAGGTACTTATGGGGCACCCAAAAGATGATGATCACTACTTCTCTCCATCAAGAGCTTATCATCTAGTGCACAGGATAAGACAAGTATAAAAACATTGCTCTAAGACAATATGGGATATTTGCCATGAGAGCTGTGTATGTGTGTATGTGTGCGTAGGTGAGGTGGAGTGTGGATATCAGGGAAGGTTTCATAAAGGAGGTAACTGGTTAAGAAGCCTTGAAATATTGGTGCCATTTCAACAGATGGGGTGAGGTCAAGGGGCCAGGAGAAGGGAATTCCAGGTAAGAAGGATGGCATAAGCAAAGACACAGAGGTGGGGAAACACAGGAGGGCGTTCAGGAATGTCGATTAATAACATTTGACTGCAGCATAGAGAAGAAGTGAGAGATAAGTCTAGAAAAATAGAATGATGCCAGATTGAGGGCCTTGAAGGTCAGGCCAAGTAATTTAGACTCAGTTTAGTAGGCAGAGGGGAACCATTAAAGTTTTTCAAGGAGCGGATTTGCTATTGACCATTTAACAATAGCCTCAATAGCTCCTAAAATTCAGAATAAAAAGGAGAAATAAGGTGCAGGGGTCCCTTCCAACCAACAACAAGACAACTGAATGGTAAGGAACTATACTGATCAAGAGAAAAACACTCCCCTTCTTCCACTGGAAAGGTGGGGAGCTATAGGTATGGAATGTTGCATACATGGTCAGATGTGATTGATGTATCAGTGTTTTTGCTAAACTGTTTTTTCCCTACCTTCAATCTTTGCTACAAAGGAATGTTCATTGGATGGTGGAGTATATTTGCAGATGAATTCAACATAAAACAAAAGGCATCAATAAATAGGGAAAAATTGAGTATATGCTAAAATAAAATAGGAGAACTATATCCCTTAAGGAACACACATCACTAGTTATAGTGATTTAACCTACTGAATACTAAATCCAGAAATTCTGACTTAAATCTATTTGCAAAGAGAGATCAAGATTTCTCTCACCGGGGTCTCTTTGCAGGGCTCCAAGGTAAAATTCTGTAAGACCATGACCAGGGCAGTCTTCATGGTCAGCATTGCAAACCTCATTCCAATGCAGTTCCGAGGACCAGCTCCAAAGGGAAGGAATACATATGGGTCGATGGATTTTCTTTCTTCTCGATCAAACCTGATCCCAAAGAATAAGTTGAAAACAAAGGCTGAGAAGGTAAAAACTTACTTGGCCTTCGAATTGGATCCAAACTCCATGGAAATTTCCTTTATTGTTCCTTCTTTCTCTTTTCCATTTCCCTCCATATTTAGAGTATCCATCAACCACACTTAGACCCATGTTCTGTGAGATGGAAGTTTTCTGAGAACCCTGTCTTGAAATGATGCTCACCCAAGGTAGCATATGTAAGACTAGCTGATGTGGTCATTCATTTATAGAAAGACTAGACTCTGAATTTGGGAGGCTTCAGGGCCTAAGAGTGGAGATCATAGAATATCAGAGCTGTAAGGGACCTTACAGCTCATCTAGTCCAACCACCTCATTTTACAGAGGAGGAAAGTGAGGCCCCCCCAAAGTTAAATGACTTGTCCAAGGTCATTCACCTAGCAAGTGACAGAGCCACGATTCAAATCCACATCTTCTTACTCCAAACCCAACATTCTTTACATTTTACTATGGATTGTATTCAGAAGGGGCTCTTGGGGTCAGATAAGCATGAAGTTTTCTGGATTATTATTGTTGAAGAGAGCAGGAAACATCAATCTCTCCCTCCTAGAAAGGAAGTCTCTGTGATTGCACACAGGAATAGTCATGGTGATTTTTTTTAAAAGGGGAAAATTAGGTTAAAATGAATATCAGAGCAATCTTGAAGGTGAGAAGGCATTGGTTCTACATGTAGCTTGAGGTAAGGGGAAGGGATGCAAGGTGTATAAATGGAGATGGAGCCATTGTTGCCCAGCAACCAGAAAGCAGACTCTTGTCACCACCCTTTTAAATATGACTGCCTATACATAAAAGCACCTCAGGTCTTTCTTAGCACCAGTTGGTGGCACTACCTCCTTCTCTAAATCTTGTTGTCTCCCTGCGGTTCCAGCTGCCTGGTCTCCCTTTTCAGAACCATAAAGTTCAGGACAGTTCCCCTAGTTACATACCTTAGGAAAGGCTTTCAATGCCATTGCCACCAGTCATAATACCAACCTAGGTTAGAATTAAGTATATAGACTTGGCTGTTAAGCAGAGGTAGCTGGGTCATGATGCAGCTGTTTCAAGAGAGGCCAGAATTTCTTTCAGAATTTGCTGTGCACACAGGCTGTGCTATTTAATTATCCCCTATGAATACACTGGACAAAAACCTCTGTTTGTGGGAAACAGGCAGATTTGTAAATCTGGATTGGGAATCAGCCCATGCTAATTAATAATAATATTATTATCAGCATGGCATAGTGCACAGAGAGCTGACCTCAGAACCAGGAAGACCCAGGTGTAAGTTGCTCCTTTCACGCACAGCCTATGTGACGGAGCAAGACTTTTAACATCTCAAAGCTCTAGGCACTCTAAGACGTTAAATTTCAGAGAAGATGCCTACCTGCATTAATAGAGGGAGTTCCTTATACCAATAAAACCATATGTCCAGTCCCCATCCTTAGTATTATCATCATCATTATTGTTAATTTGTGAATTTGTACAGAGAAAATACTGACCTTTGACCAACCTTGAGGGCTTGTCCCTCACCGAAGTTACACTTAATACTGCTACAACCCACACCTGAGGCTTTTAAATCTTGCTCAGCTCCCTGCTGCCAGGGTCTCTAACACCATCATTGGTTCCTGCCTCATTTGCCAGGTTTTGACCCCACAGTGATGCCAGAATAAGACTTGCTCATAATCACAGCTGGGAAATTGCATTTTATTTTCAACACATATTTATCCTTCTTGTTGCTGATTTGTCTGGCCCTGGGCCAGTCTCCCCATGCCTCTGGTTTTAATATCTGGCTATAAACTCCAGTGTTATAGCTGCTCAAAGCTAGTCTCATTGTCATTTTCTTCAATGCAGTTAATTAAATTCTATGCACAGTATGTGGCCCCACATCATAAAGGCTCCCTGGCTGGAGATGCTAGGACTAACTGTCTATGATCCACGTCCCATGGGAGCATCCTGATTACCTTTTCCTCACAGTCTCAACAAGTGGCCCTCTAAAGTTAACCAACCCATGGCCTTCCCTTCACGTACCTTTCAGGACGGAACTCTTCAGGTTCTGGCCAGTACTCTGGGTCATGATGCAGAACATAGACAGGGATCATCACCACTGTCCCCTTGGGAATGATTATCCCATTGATCTCAGCAGTTTTCTCACAGATTCTCTCTATGCGTCCCCCCTGTGGGTAGAGCCTGAGTGTCTCATTCACCACCATGTCCAGATACTCCATCTGGAAGATGGTATCATAAGTGGGGGCTGCCTAAGGAGAGAAGTCAAATTGGCAGAAATGAAATCCATCAGTAAATATCTATCAAATGCTTACTACATGTAAGGCAGTATGCTAGAAGCAATGATGGGCACCCAAGGGAATAATCCAGTCTGATTATTTTAATAAATAATGACTCATTTGGCAGCTAGGTGGTACAGTCCCAAGAGTCCTAGACTTGGTACCAAGAAGATTTGAGTTGAAATCCAGCCTCAGACATCTACTAGCAAAACACTTAACCTCTATATTCCCCAGTTTCCTCATTTGAAAAGTGAGGATAAAAATAGCATCAACCTCCCACATTGAAATGATAATAAAATTGTATACCTCTTGCAAAACATTTTCCAAACTTTGAAGTGCTATATAAATGGCAGCTAACTATTTAGGAAGCAAGAGCCAACCATGGGCTCAGACCTGGGGCTCATGCTTTGGGAGATACTAAGTATTTGAAAATAGAATTCAAGCCCATAAGGAATTAACAACTTATGATCATTCCTAATCTTCGCACTGCTGGAATAGATATCTGCTTCCAACCTCAGTACGACTATAATAGCACATCATGGATATGGTAGTTGGATCCAATAAGACTTTCAAAATTCATACATCCATTCAAAATTCTCCTACTGATTCATTGACCATTCTTTCATTCTTGTCCTTTCCTTCAGTCAAAAGATAAACATTGAGAATATCTGTGGCAGGAGAGATGATAAAATTCTGAAATTATCTATCAGCTTTGAGGAAATGTTTTTGCAACATCTTGCTAGCTTTGAGCAACTGTACTTTAAAATGTCATCAGTTCAGACACAGCTAATTTGGAGGTTTTGATTCTTTGGACAAAGAGCTTACCTGTCCTCTGTCTATGAAGGAATGGGTTGCTACGCAAATGATTGGTGTAAAGAATTTATAAGGAAAATGTTTGAAATGGCTGGAGAGAATAAACAGTTTTCAAGTAATTTAGAAGCCCTCATTTACTTACAATTGCTGTGCTAATCATGAATCATTATCTGGTCATTAAACATTCCCTCCTAGGACCTTCACTGGACAACACTGCTAGCCTATTAGCAGTTACTATATATGTTGCAAAGGAATAAAACTAATACTTCTTGGAAAATAGGCATTCAGATTGATTTTGCACCCTTGGTCTGAATCAGTAAGGCTTGACTGCTTTAGGTTAAATAGACAACACTGGTACTGTACATTTGCTATGGCAGATAGCATTGCGTTGGGTGGCTCCCATTTGGAGCACAAGAGAATTTTTGGCTGATTCCTCAATCACTCTGGCAGCAATTTCTGGGAATTTTTTTTTCTAGAAATGAGTTGGCTTTATTTCCATCACATGCTAGATCATCCTCCACCCTTTGTGGGTTCATATCTTCTGTAGTTGTGTAATATCACTTAGTCCTTGGTTAGTAATAGTCTTAAACTGTGTAATTCCTTGTTTTGCTCACCATGCCCAATTCACAGTGGTCTACAATAAACAATCCTTTGTTACTAACTGTTTATTGGATGGAGTTAGTTGATTCTTTTTGTCTGCTGATAGGATAAACATATCTATTTCTAGACTTAGGAAATCCTATGTTATACAGAATACTTGGGCTTGAGAGGCATCATGTCAAAGTGGGTATAGAATAGATTTTGAAGCTACAAAGACCTGAGTTCAAGTCTCTAACCTGACCCATACTGGCTATGGCACCCTGAGCAATTTATTTAACCTCTCAGAGCTTTAGGCAGCTCTCTATGACTATGGTTTGTAGCAAAGGTACTGCCAAACATAGGCATTACTTGCCTTGAAGGCAAGAGGGTGAGGAAGAAAAGGTGTCCTTCCATTCCTATGCTACTGACCTTTTCTTCCCATTGTGTTTATGAGGAGAGAGAAAGAGAGAGAGAGAGAGACAGACAGACAGACACACAGACACACAGACACACAGACAGACACACAGAGAGAAACAGAGAGACAGATTTTTTTTTTCCATTCTGGATATATAAACAATAATAAACAGCTATTGCATACTAGATGTTTATTGAATTGAGTTAATTGATTAAATTGAGTAAATAAACATTACTTGCCCTTTTTACCTTGTTGGGTAGATAACTGTCTATCTCCTCATGGAGTTTCTTCTGGATTTCAGGATGGGTGGCCAAGTTATAAGAAATGAAGGTGAGGGTTGAGCTTGTAGTTTCATAGCCAGCAAAAAGAAAAGTAACTGCCTGAGCCACAATCTCCACTTCAGTCAAAGCTTTAGGGAGAGAATCAAGTTATAAATGTGAGAGAAAGCAATGGTCAGAACCCTAGGTAGTACTCAAGTTCATAGCCAAATGGAAATATTTCACTCTGGGTCTTGGATGGGTGCAGCTTTGATCATTGACTAATCAAAGCAAAATGTCACGTTAAATTTATTGTTTCTTCCTAGTCCTTGTAAAATCCCAATCTGACACAGGTGAAATGAATTGGAAGTTGAATCTTAGTGGTTGCTGATGGAGGCTGTATGATGTCACTCAACTGAGTACAACATTACAACAATGATCTGGTGAGGATTTTTGCAATGGGAACAGAGTAGTAAAACAAAAATCATAGAATCAGAATGGTTAAGTGAGTTTTCCAAAACTCACTACTAATAAATCCAAAGCCAGGATTTAGTTCTCCAAACTCTAGAGTCCATACTCTTTGGGAAAAAAAAACTCTTTTGGTCTTCGATTTTGCATCAATGATACTTCATTTGAAATCATGAATTGACTATGATGGACTACTATTTCATCACTGAGTTTATATTTCTGTTCATATGCAGACATTACCCTTTGGAGAGTTATTCTTCTCCTTAGATCCAGGGTCATTTGTGGCCTGGGAATCAATCATTAATTGCAGGAAATCCATTCGCTCCTGGGAACAGAGAAAGGTTCAGAAAAGTGAATATGAAGTTGAATGAGTAAAGTCATGTAAGCTACATCATTCTTTCTATGAACTCCATCTTTTTCTTTAGCCCATCATAAAACTTTCATTGTGAAAAGACTGGTAGAAGAAAAGGCCTATGTTTCTTAGACATTTCCAATATCTGATATACCTGAGAATTCACTAAATCTTGACAAGTAGAAGGTGCTCTCTTTGCCCTGTCCCTCGAACATCACATTTAGATTTTCCCTGGTGCAGTCCTCTCTTCATCCATTCCTTAATAGCACTTAACCACACAGAGCTGGCTCTAGGCAAAACCATGGTATCCTTCTAGCTCCTCTCTAAGCCCTCCACATGCCCTTACACTCTCTCCTCTACATCTTTATCAAAATATACTCAACCTACTTTCACACTGGAAAAGATCAAATTAACTAATTCATGCTGAAGTGTTAACAGCCCATCACTCATTCAAATAATGGGTGGCCAAGTTACAAGAGATGAAGAATGAGTATCATGCTTGTAATTTTGTGGTCAGAAAAAAGAAAAGTAACATCCTGTGGAGAAATTCCCATTTCAACAACAGTTTTCTGGAGAAAGCAATCCAAAAATGAGAAAAATGCAGCCAACAGGAGGATCTTGAATAGCCTCCTTGTTTACAGTCAGAAGGAAAGAGGGGAGAAAGGGTAAGAGAACACAGATTTATTAAATATCTACTATGTGCTAAGGCACTATGCTGAGATTTAGAAATATTATCTTAATAAATATTTCACTATGGGCCTTTGATGATTTACAATTTGATTTGTGTGAACAGATGCAGAGTGAAGTGAGGAAAACCAGAAAAATTTCTACTATGTTTAAGTACTTCTACCATGATACCAAACACTGCAAAAATGAAAAACTTTCAAAGGTTTAAGATCCCTGATCAATAAAATGATCAACCATGATTCCATGTACCTAAAGAGATATGATTTTGGACATGGCCAATATGAGGATTATTTTCTTGACTATGATTGTTTATTATAAGAGTTTTCTTTTTTCCAGTGAAGAGAAGAGGGTAAAAATTAAATGCTTATTAATTGAAAAAATAATTTTAAAAATTAATAGTACAAAGCTATCAGCTAAGGAATGAACCTCTAAAGGAGTGATTTTGGATGGCAGTAATAGGATGGAATACAGGTATTCTTCCTAGTTCTCACAAGTCATGCCCCAGTATGGCATAGCTTTCCTAACAGAATCTTCACCATCTTCACCTCATGCAAAACCTTGATATGTGTAGAGAACACCAGATATTGTACCAAGACTCTGGTTATGAAAAAGATGTGTCTGGGATTGGTAGCAGGTCTAGACGGGACTCCGAAGGACTTTCAGGACTAATAATTTCAAGTCCTTTCTGCCTCCTGTCTGTTCTCTGCTTTATGCTACTGACTAGTAAAGTATGAGAGGGTCAGGTTTGATTGACAGCAGAGTCCAATGAAGTAGACTCTCTCTCTCTCTCTCTCTCTCTCTCTCTCTCTCACACACACACACACACACAATCATAGCTTCAGAGAAGATAGAAAACTTGCTCAAGGTTACATAGTTAATTAGTTATTTGCAGGATGCAGAACAGAACCCAGGCCTCTTGACTCCCAGGCATGCCTCACACTACACTGTCTTTTACATCATAAGACCACCCAAATTGAATACGGAACCTCAGTTCTTTTCAACTCCATAACCTGAACAGGATACTACCCGGAATACCAGATCTGAAATGCATTTATTGAATGGCTTCACCACTGTGACATGGGACAAATCACTTAAATTCTTGGTGCCTCAGTTTCCTCAGCTATAAAATAAGAGAATTGGATTCGATAAACACTCAGTTTCCTTCTAGTTCTAAACTTAGGATCCTATAAAAAAACAAACAAAAATGCATCTTTTGACAAGGATGTTACTAAGGCCCAAATTTCAGCAAAGCTGAAATACATACATATACATATGTTCTAGGGTTAGACCTACCCTTTTGTTGTTCTTTTGCCGGTCTGCCATGATATGTCGCATTGCATTCACAAGAAAGTTCGTAATTTCTTTAGAAAAAAGATTCACATTCATTTTTTCCAATATGGGTACAAGAGAAGGAAACACCACTAGAGAAAATGGCAAAAGAAATGGATCAGTATAACATAAAGCAGGGAGAAGGAGGCTTTTCAAAGACTCTTTCTAGTGTCAATGATGAGACAAGGGATTGAGTAGGAAAAGTGAGAGAAAACACTAGGGGGATCATTATTCTGAGATCCATCCTAGTTCCAATCCAAGTCATTTAATACTATAAGATCATGATATAGAAGAATACTGGTTCTGGACCTGGACTCTAATCCTGCCTCTGATACTTACTACCTGAGTGACTTTGGACAAGTCACTTCCTCTCTTTTGGTTTCAAGTTCTTTGTAAAATAAGGGGATTGAGCTAGATGGCCTTTGAGGTCCCCTCCAGCTGTAAATTTATGATCCTAGAATCCTTGATTTAAGTCAATAATCATTCGTATTACTATTAAAAACTTCTAATTCCACAAAAATTTTTGAATTGTTGGACTGACTTTTAATGAGATACAATTCAATGGAAAAAAAGCATTTATTGTACAAAACTCAGTGTTAAGAATCTAGAATAAGGGCAATATTGTGTCATGGATCCCTTGAACAGTCACCATGGTGAAGCTTATAGGCCTTTCTCAGAATAATGTTTTTAAATGTACAAAATGAAATGTAAAGGAAACCAATTACATTGAAATGTAGCTATCAAAAAGTTGTTGTTGTTTTTTAAACTAAGTTCATGAAGCAGCTGGTAGCTCAGTGGATAGAGCACTGGGCCTGGAGTCAGAAAGACCTGAGTTCAAATCCAGTCTTAGACACTTTCTAGCTATGTGACCCTGGGCAAGTCGCTTCACCCCTGATTGCCGGACCACAGGATTCACTGAATCCCCGGGAAAAGGAAATGACAAACCACACCAATATCTTTGCCAAGAAAACCATATGGTCAGTTGGTCCATGAGGTCACATTGGACATGACTGATTGATTGAACAACACAAAGTTCACGGACCACAGATTAAGAGTCATTAGTTTATAGGAGTACAAAGAAGAATAAGACATGGTATCTGGTCTACTTCACTAGCCTCCTAATAAGTATTTCCACCTTCATTCTCCCTCCTCACCTTCTAATCCATCTTTCCCACTGCTGCTGAGGTAATTTTCCTTGTATTTCTGGTCACTCTTCAGCTCAGACCTCCATAGTAGCTCTGTGATTCTTACAGAGTAGTATTCCATCACCTCTACCATACAATGACCTGAATAATCTGGTACCACCTTACCTATACAGCTATTTTTTATGCAACTCCCCTCTAAAAATATAATTTGCTAGCAAAACTGGACTGCTTTCTATCCCCTAAACACAATATGTGGTTATCGTGCTATTCCTCCTTTATATGATTTGCCATGTTGCCCTGGCTCTGCCTGTAACTCACATTTTTCATTCCCTAGTTAAAGTCCAACTCAAACGTTACTTCCTTCAAGAAGTCTTCCCTTTTTCTCTCAAGCAATAAGAATTGTCCCCCTCAGACCATAATACTACTTTGTTTTGTATCATGTTAAAGTGCTAGTTGTGTTATACTATATGTGTATCTAACGTCCCGGTTAGATGGTAAGTTACATAAATGCAGTACCAGTAACTCATAGACACTTCAAATGTCCCTCAAAGTTTAGGAGAAAGCCTTATACTACAGTTGCTTAATATGTGAATTAAAATGCACTGAAGAATTTTAAAGGGAGTAGGGGAGATACCAGATTTACAGAAATCATTATAGCTCTAAGTAAAGTATAGCAATGTCTGTGAGACATAGAGATATAGAGCACTGGGCCTGGAGTCAGAAAGACCTGAGTTCAAATCCAGTCTTAGAGACTTTCTAGCTATGTGACCCTGGGCAAGTCGCTTCACCCCTGATTGCCGGACCACAGGATTCACTGAATCCCTGGGAAAAGGAAATGACAAACCACACCAATATCTTTGCCAAGAAAACCATATGGTCAGTTGGTCCATGAGGTCACATTGGACATGACTGATTGATTGAACAACACAAAGTTCACGGACCACAGATTAAGAGAAGAACAAAGCTCTCAAAATTCAAAGGGCGATCCTGATTGAGAGGAATCTCAGTGAAGCCTCTTTGCAATGTGCTGATAATCAAGTGTATGATGGGAAAGTGAATGTAGGCTTGAAGTTTAGCAAAGAAAAATGATGGAAGCATGCCTGGGGGTCTCAAGTTTTCAGGCTGAGAGACCTAACCAGACCTGTAGAGAAAAGGGGAAGAGTCCTTGGAGAGCCAAGCAAAGTGAAATATTCCATAAGTTTGGAAAATGAGTCCATCAAGGCCAAAATTTCAATGAATCATTGTGGTGAGCACTGAATTTGGAATCAGAAAATCCTAGCTCTTCTTTCTCTGTGTCCTTAGGTAAATCATTTCCCCTCCTTGGACCCATTTTCACATTTCTAAAATGATGATCTTGAGCCCTAAATCCAAGATCCAATAGATGATTTTTCTAATAAGCCTGTCTCCCACTCCAGAATTCTTTCTCTATTTCTCTATGTGGTAATGCTGCTTCCAAATGGGAATGATGGTTACAAAAACCATGGCCCTGGTTTTGGGTGATTTATGGGTCCTAAGTTCTAGTCAAACCAGTCTGGCTTTCTATCCATTACCTGAATTTGGCACCCCCTATCCCACTTCCATGCCTGCATGCTCTTTGGTTCCCAGAATTCACTTTCTCCTCATTTTAATCTCTAAAAATCCTTAGCATCCTTCAAGGCTCAGTTTATGTTCCATCTCCAATGAAAAGCCTCTTCTGATTACTCTACCATGCGTGAGTGATCTCCCTTCCCTCTCTTCATGCATATTCATTCATTCAACAAGTTACTAAGTGCCTGCAATATGCAAAACACTATATAATGCTGGGGATAAATAGACAAAAACAAAACTGTACCTGCCTTCAAGAAGCTTGCATTCTACTGGTGGAAAGCAATATATATACATAGATATTTAAATGGAAGATGTATACAAAGTAGGTACAAAATTTATATGTTGTATCCCCTGTAACAGGGCAGTTAGGCGGCACAGTAGATAGAGGGCTGGTCCCAGAGTCAGGAAGATCTGAGTTCAAATCTGGCTTTAGACACTTAACAACTATGTGACCCTGGGCAAATAACTTAACCCTGTTTGCCTCAGTTTCCTCATCTGGAAAATGAGCAGGAAAAGGAAATGGCAAACCACTGCAGCATCTCTGCCAATAAAACCCAAATGGGGTCACAAAGAGTCCTATGTGACTAAAATGACTCAACAAAAATAATCCCTTGTAGAATATAAGTTCCTTGAAGGTAGAGACTTTATCATTTGGCTTGGTTTTTATCCTTATATACACAGCGCTTCCCACAGTGCCTTGCACAGTAGACCTTTAACAAATGCCTATTAGATTGACTTGATTTCCCAATTTGTCAGTCCAAATTTTCTGCCAAAATACAAGCACATAATAATAATGAAAGCTAGCATGTGGATGGTGCTTTATGATCTGTGAAGCACTTTGCATGTATTATCTCATTTGATTCTCACAACATCCCTATGAGGTAAGGGCTATTATTGTCCCAGTTTAACAGAGGAGGAAACTTAGGTTGACTTGCCCAGCTAGTCCAAGTCAGGATTTTAAATCAGTTCTTCCTGACTCCAGATTCAGCATTCTAGCCACTGACCCACCCAGCTGGCTCAGGAAATTGAGGATTCTTCTCTCATGTGAGGAATGCATTCTAACCTTTGTGCTTAGGATATTGCCCTCAAAGAATATTGGGGCATGAAATATGGCCCTTTCCAGCTCTTGTGAAACTGAGCTACTGTTGTGGAGCTACAAAAACCCTCAGGTTGGGAATGAGCGCTGATATAGGTGTTTTGATGAGGAATCAATATCATACATATTAAGATAAGCAGAGGATTTAAAAAGCTGAAAGAGAGCAGCTCCTTGATGCGCACGAGGAAGGGGTCATTTGGCTTGTTAATGGAGTCGATGTCCAGGCCAAAAAAAGTGCTGGTGATGGTATCCAAGCTGTAGGCCCCAAAGATACTGCAGAGAGAAAAAAAAATTCTGTGATTAAAAAAACAAAAGTTGGCAGGAATTCAAGATTCACAGATGATCTTTCAAGTTTTTCTTAAGCACCCATGCTGTACATAGTTCTGTGCTAGGGATTATGGGAGATACTGAACAAGTGTAACTACTGATGGCTTGAACACCGTGTAAACATACACATACACACACACACACACACACACACACACACATACACACACATATATTGATCCAAGGAAGCTAGGAGACAAGAGACTTTAGCAGAGGCTTTAGTTTACTTCCATTTCTCTCACTGTTTAGCTGAGTGGCATTAGACAAGGCATTTAACCTTTCTAGACTTCAGTTTCTTAATCTGGAAAATGAAAAGCATGGACTCAATGGTACCTGAGTTTTCTTCCAGTTCTAACTCTATGACTTTGTGTCACAAAAGTTTCTTCCAGGTCTGACATTCTAGGATTTTATGATTCTGTAATATTGTACACGAGGTACTATAGACGTGTGGGAGAAAAGTAACAGCTACAATTATTTTGCAGACTCTTAATGATCTAACAATGTAGAAATCCCCCACCCATTTAGTGGCCTAAGATGGAAAGTAAGGTGAAATAAAATATTTAAAAGCTATGCAAAGACACAACTAAGCAGATGGTCTTGACTGTTATAACAACCATTTACTCTCCTTGGAGTAAAAACTTTTCAGTTTTGTCAAAAAGGACTTCTTTTATAATTGCAAAAATATTTGGTCTCTGCCCTTGAACAAGGAATGTTTTCTTATTCCAAGAACAGATCCTGATACTTACATTCCAAATAATCCTCCTTTCTCCCTTGATTGATGCCCCTCTTTCTCTACCCTTCCTCCCCTACAGGATGTTGCTGATCAGCTGTACACTTCCTCCAGCAGGAAGCACGGTACCCTTAGTAAATGGTTTTTTTTTTTTCAATTAAACAAGTTGAATTAAAGCATATAGATTCACAGCCTTTTGGAATAATAATAACAGTAGCTGACATTTTTTATTGCTTTAAGGTCTGCAAAGGGCATACTGGGTCTGCTCTCATTTGACCCATACAAAAACCCTAAAAAATAGACACTACACATATTATTATGCCTGTTTTACAGATGGGTAAAGTAAGGTTTAGAGAGATTAGGTGACTTGTCTAGGGTCACACAACTAGTCAGTGTCAGATGAGGGATTAAAATTCAAATTATATCTAGCTTGACTGCAAGCTCTGTGCTTTTTCCACTCAACTCCAAACTGCCTAAGAGAGGCATCTATGCTGGATCATAAGAAAAGTGCTCCAGATGTATTTTGACTTCTGGAAGCCAAAACCTTGAAAAACTCAGAGAATATTGCCCCAGGAAAAATCCTGGAACAGTGGAGCCAGCAGAAGGATGAGGTGCAGTAGTCTTTTAGCTCAGGAGGCTAGGGGGATTAACAGGAAAGGCCCCTCTTACTCTGGCTAAAGGGGACCAGTACAGGATGACAGGCATCCTAGCAAGCCAGTGGCAAGCCCCACCTCAGCAAACCAGTGGGAGATCCTGAGAACCAGGGTGGTGGAGCAGGCAAGCGCCAACACCAGGCACACCACCACCAGCTCCAGCTCAGCACCAGGTAAGCTACCAGACACCTACAGCCTCCAGTTACCAGCACCTGAGGTCCCCAGCACACAAAATCAATAACCAGGCCCCTAATCCCCAGCACAAGAAGTGTGGGACAGTGCCCCCTATGCCCCAGAAGCAGAGATTAACTTGAAAAGCCAGAAAAAAAGGCAAACAGCATGAGCAAAAAACAACAAAGAAAAGCAATGACCATAGAGAAGTATTTTAGTGACAGGGATGATCAAAACACAAATTTTGGAGAGGATAACATTATCGATATATATCTGACAATAATAACAATATCAATATACATCTGAAACCTCAAAGGGGAATATGAACTGGTCAGACATCATGTAAGTTACTCAACCTCTATATGCCTGTCCATTGTAACTCTCTATAACTCATTTACTAAGTCACAAATTAAGGGGGAGTTTCCCCATGCCAGTAATATCATCAACTTATGTTTGCCCAATGCTTTACCATTACAAAAAATGTTTTCACACATAATAAGAATAGCCAACAATTATCTTGCACCTGCAAGTTTACAAGGATGGTTGAAGAGAATTTTCTCAGAACAATTCTGTGAGGTAAAGGATTATTATCATCATATTACAGAAGGGGAAAGTGGGGCTTTGATCAGTGGAATGACTTGCCCAGAGTCAAACACCCTAATATAATTGGTTGAGTCAGAATGAAAAACCTTGTTGTCCTAACTAAAGTGGTCAGACTAATGCCCTTTCTACTTGTGGATCTAATGATGAACTTGACCATTTTTAGTCTGGTGAAATCTATAAACCCCTATTCAGAATAATGCTTGTTGCCTTCATTCATAATGCTCATTTTCATAATGCAAAATTTCAGTTGGACATTAGTGAAAATAAAAACATACTCATTTTATATCCATGGTCATGGACTCCTTGAAATTTTGCCCCAGTCCTCTTAAGGGTTCCCAGATGCCAAGTTAAGAATTTCTGACCTAGTCCAACCATTTCATTTTACGAACAATGACTATGGTCCAAAGGGTGCCTGTCAAGTTAGTAAGTGGGCAGATCCAGTATTTAAACCTGAAAGATCAGTAAGGGAACTTGAAGGTTACCTAGTACAAGTCCAATCATTCAGTAGATAAGGAAATTGAAGGGCAAAGACATTAGGTGATTTGTCCAAGGTCATATTGGTAATGAATACCAGAACTGGATTTGAACTCAGGTCTTTGGACTTCAAATTCTGCACTCCTTCCAACTGTACCACAGCACCCTTAACCTTAGTTCTACATCACTCTGAGCCTTTCCTAACTTCTCAGTCACCCAGAGCCTCTTTTCTCCAAGGCAAATGTTGCTTTGGGAACTACTCTAAGAAACGACTGCTCAGAAGTTATTCGCCTCTTCCAGGCAGATTTGCATTATAATATGGACCAACGACTTAAGCTATAAGAAAGAAAGACTTTAAGTAGAATTTAAGTCAAAAGGCACAATTTCAGGATTATTGGGGGCAGGTTGAGATGGGGGACATTGAAAAGGAAATTTCCTAACACAACTGAAAGATTTGATTCATAAAGAAGCCCTGCTTCCAAGTCTCACCACACTTGGTACAGATCAAGAAGTGGGCTACCAGGGAAGTCATCAGGGATTTTGTAAAAGAGATTCCTGCTCACTAGATAGAGACTTCCTTTCCACCTGAAGAAACTTTTGGTAAATTTCTTTTATTTGGGGCTAATTAATTTTTTTCTTCTAATGCAAAATAGTAACTCTTCTAAAACTTGCCTGTGACATTGGGGATTTAATTAAGGTGTCCAGTGTCACAGAGGAAGCATACATAAAGGGCAAGAGTTGAACCTATGTCTTCCTGACACTACAGCCAGCTTTCTGTCCTTTATGCCATACTGCTTCCTTTGTAGTTGAGGCCAATGATCCCATTATATCTCAAAGCAAAATTCATCTTTTTATCTACTTCAATTTAATATGGGCTCTGGGCCTATAGGCTTGGGATAGTCTACACGTCTAGGCAAAGACAAATGTCTGTCTCCATGTCTCTCTTTTTGTTTTTTTTTTTGTCCCTATTTCTGACTCTTTCTTTCTTCTTCTCTTCTCTTTTCCTCTTCTCTCTCCCTCTCTCCCTCTCTCTCTCTCTCTCTCTCTCTCTCTCTCTCTCTCTCTCTCTCTCTCTTTCTCTCTCTCTCAGACCTATGACTTCATTGGTGGAGAGAACTCAAATGAGGAAACTTCATCTACTAATAACAGATTGTCAATTAGTTGTCTTGGGATATGTGAGGTTAAGTGAGGTGCCCAGAGTCACATAGCCAGTAAGCATCAGAGGCAGGACTTAGACCCTGATTTTCAAGACTCTTAAACTGACTCTCTAGGTCCAGGCCCACATTACCTTGAACTCTATTTTATTCAGTGAGAAAGGTCTCCATTCTGAATTCTCTAATCAAGCTTGCCCCGATCTTGCAAAGGCAATTGTTTTTCCTTGCAAACACTGGATGGTCATACTTACTCCTTCATATTCAGAGATTCATCTTTGGCCACTCTCTTCTCAATATTTTGCACAACAACATCTCCATGGTGTTTGATAATGGGAAACATCTGAAACAGAGCCCAAAGTCAATCTGTTCACAGTTGCTAGAATGTCCAACAGGTTATATATCACTGGTTATGCTAGGTACATGAATTCATCTAGCATAGAATCTTAATTCCCCATACTAAAGAAAATGGAAGTTATTCTTAATTGAATAAGGAAGAAGATGTTTTCATTAATTGACTTCATGTTTCACCCAGAAGGCCACCTTTGTTTCAACCCTTATCCTTACAAATCTCCACAAAATGTCTAAGTCTACTCACCTTGCTGAGACTACAACTATCTAATGGAGCTAAAACCATGAACGAGCTCACAGTTGTGTTTCCCAGACCTAACGCAGATTCAGAAAATTGCAAAACTAAGTCTAGAAGGGCATTGATCAGAGACTCCTTCCTAGTGAAGACTACTTAGGGCCTGCTAAAAGTTTGTGGTTTTCTGACCTGAATTGACCCTGAAATCCTTGAAGAATTGAGTAGTCAATGCCCAGAGAAAAAAGAAGCAGGTCCCAAATAATATATGACAGCACCATAGTATTCCTTCTGGAAGTATACGGAGTCTGACTCTAACATAAAGTCCTAATTCAAGAAATAACTTTGAACTCTCTACCATATATTGGGCATCTCTTTATCACCCTTGTGAATGGGATCTACATGAGGGGATGAGGAGAGAGTCAGGGAAGGGCAAGCACACTTCATTAAGCACGGACAACTGGCACTGCATACACACCATCTTTCTCACCATTTGCTTTTATTTCTTTCATGGGAGAGAATGAAGTCAAAGAGAAGAAAAAGTATAAGAAAATAGAAGAGAGGGAAATAAACAATTCATGATGATAACTTTGAATGTAAATGAGATGATCTCACCCAAAAACAACAGAAGAATTTACTATTGAAATAATTTACATGAAACACACTTGAAACATAAAAATTCATACAAAGTAAAAATAATGAGATAGAGCAAAATCTATTCTGCTTCAAAGAAAAAAAAGTCAGGGTAGCAAACATGGTATCAGACAAAGCAGCAATGAAAATGGATTTGATCAAAAGAGACAGCAGAGAAATATTATGTTTTTAGGTAACAATATCAGTATACACACACATTTTTGTTCACTTGTTTTCCAGTTGTGTCAAACTTTCTGTTACACCATTTGGGGTTTTCTTAGTAGAGATAATGGAGTGGTTTGCCATTTACTTATCTAGCTCATTTTACAGATGAGGAAACTGAGGCAAATAGGATTAAGTGACTTGCTTAGGGGTCACACAGCCAGTAAATATCTGAGGACAAGAAGGTAAGTCTTCCTGACTACAGGACAGCACTTTATTCACTGTGCCACCTAGCTGATTTTATATATATGTGTGTGGATGTGTGCATGTGTGTGTGTATGTGTGGATGTGTGTGTAAGCATGCATATATGTATATATAAAATACACATATATACATATACAAATACACATACATATACATACACGTACACATACAAATATATGCATGCATGTATGTGTGTGTTTATGTATATGTCTACACACATATACACATGTGTATATGTATCATATACGCATATGTATATACACACACAAACCAACATATATGTGTATGTATGTGTGTATATATGTGTATTATGTGTACATGCATGCATCCATACACACAGACACTGAATGGTTAAATGAAACTAGTTATTGGGAGAAATAGGAAGTAAAACTACAATAATAAGGAACCTCAATGTACTCCCTTTCAAAACCAAAAAATCTAACAAAAAATAGATGATAAAGAAGTTAAGGACTTCAAAGGAACTTTAGATAAATTAGATAAGATAAATAGTCATTACTGAATAGGTGATTACTGAATGGATTAAAAAAAAAAGGGTATACGTATATCCTCAGCACTACATGGTACCTTTACAAAAATTGACCAGATATTGGCAGGGACGGGGGTGGGAGAGAGAAGATTGATAAATAAAGGCAGAAAAGAAGTGACAAATACACCATCTGCTGACCACAATGCAATAAAAATTACGTTCAATAAAGAGCCACTGAAGAAAGAGTTAAAAGTTCATTGGATCTTCCAGTAGGCAAGATAATGGAGTAAGCAGTAAATCACTGTAGCTCTCCCATATTCACCTCTAAATAACCGTAAAATAGTGCCCCAGAACAAATCCTGAAATAGCAGAGCCAGAAGAAAGACAGGATGGAGTGGTTTTTTAGCCTGGGGGACTTGGAGGTTGGGCAAGAAAAGCCCATCTCAGGTAAAAGAGGAGAACATTCCAGGGCAGGAAGTGTTCCAGCAAGCCAGCAGCAAGCCCCACCTCAGCAAAGTAGCAAGAGATCCTGAGCCCCAGTGTGGCAAGCAAAAAGCAATACCAGGATCCCTCATGTGCCTTAGCATATCCAGGGGAACTGCCTGACTCCAGGTCTGAGAACCACCACATGGTTCAGCACAGTCCAGGGCAAATAGGCATCCTCTGGGGGCCAGACCTGCTCATGTTTCAGTGTAGCCCTCAGGGAAATGCAGAAACACCCCACCTAGCCTCAACACATGCCAAACACTACCACTAGGACCCCAGTTCAGCACCAGGTAAGCTGCCAGACTCCTACAGCCTCCAGCAGCGCCAGTCAACCCTCACCCCCCCACCCCTCAACATAGCACCAGAAACAAGGGACCCCTGTGGACCTCAGGGCAACATCTGAGCAGTCCCAAGTAAATAGCCAAGGCCTGAAGCCACTGGTACACAAATCCTGAGACAGAGCCCCTTCTACCTTGGGAGCAGAGATCAAATTTAAAAGAAAGGAAAAAAGACCAAAAAATGAGCAAAAAACAACAAAAAAAAATAATTTGACCATAGAAAGTTATTATGATGACAAGGAAGACCAAGACACAAACTTAGAAGAGGACAATAATGTCAAAACACCTATGGGCAAAACCCCAAAGAAAAAAAATAGAAAGTGGTCTCAAGCCCAGAAAGAACTCAAGGAAGAGCTCAAAAAGGAGCTTTAAATCATGTAAGAGAGGTAGAAGAAAAAAAATAAGGAAAAATGAGAGTGATGCAAAAGAATTTTTAAAAAAAGACTCAACAGCTTGAAAAACTGCTTAGAAAGTAGAATTGGTAAAATCAAGGGTGGAGAATCTACGGCATCGAAGCCACATGTGGCCCTCTAGAGCAAGTGTAGCCCTTTGACTGAATCCAAACTTCACAGAACAAATCCACTTAATAAAATGATTTGTTCTGTGAAGTTTGGATTCAGTCAAAGGGCCACACTTGAGGACCTAGAAGGCCACAGGTTCCCCACCCCTGGACCAAATGGAAAAGGAGATACAGAAATTCACTGAAGAACACAACTCCTTAGAAAGTACAACTGGTCAAATAGAAAAGAAAGTACAAAAACTAATTGAGGAAAACAACACCTTATAAGCTAGAATTGGATAAGTGGAAGCTAATGACTCTATGAAACATCATGAATTGATCAAACGAATCAAAAGAATGGAATAATAGGAAAAAATATAAAATACTTCATGGGAAAAACAACTGACCTGGAAAACAGATCCAGGAGAGACAATATCAGAATCATTGGAATACCTGAGAGCCCTAATCAAAAGGAGGGTCTGGACAGCATCTTTCAAGAAATTATCAAGTAAAAGTGCCTGAAGTCCTGGAACCAGAGGACAGAATAGGCATTGAAAGAATTCACCAATCATCTCAGGAAAGAAAACCCAAAATAAAAACCCAAAAAAACATTATAGCCAAATTTCATAACTATCAGGTCAAGGAAAAAAATAATACAAGTGACCAGAAAAAAGTGATTCAAATATGGGGTAGTCATAATCAGGATCACACAAGACTTGGCAGCTGCAACATTAAAGGATCAGAGGTCATGGAACAAGATATCCTGGAGGGCAAAGGAGCTAGAACTACAATCAAGAATCACTTACCTGGCCAAATTAAGCATAATACAACAAGGGGGGAAATGGTCATTCAATGAAATAGAAGGACTTCAAGTCTTCATAAGGAAAAGACCAGAACTAATTAACCTCCAAGATCAAGTCCCAAGAGAAGCATAAAAAGGTAGAAAGGGAAAAGAAAACATAAGGGATTTGATAGAGCTAAACTGTTTACATCTCTACTTGGGAAGATTATACTAGTAACTCTTAAAAATTGTTTCTCTAACAGTACAGATAGAAAGAATATACATAGACAGAGGGTATGGGTATAAGGTAAATTTGAGGGAATGATATAAAAAATTAAGGGATGAGAAAGAGGAGTACCATGGATGCAGAAGGAAGAGAGAGATAGAATGTGGTAAATTATCTCATATGAAGAGGGGAGAAAGACCTATTACAGTGGAGGGGAATTTGGGAGAGTGGGTGACTAGTATTACTTGAATCTTACTCTCCTCAGTATTGTCTCAAAGAGGGAATCATATACACAATCAGTTGCATATAGGAATCTATCTTACCTGACAGGAAACTAAGAAGGAAGGAGGTTAAGTAAAGTGGGGGAGTGGGGATGGGGACTGACAGAAGGGAGGGCAGATCAGGGGAGGTGATAGACCAAAGCAAAATACTGGTGAGGTGGGAAAGGGTGGAAGGAGAGAGAGGACAGACAGGGGGAAGAATAAAATGGAGGGAAATACACAGGTAGTCATAATAACTGTAATGTGAATTGCATGAACTCTCACATAAAACAGAAGCAATTAGCAGAGTGGATCAAAAACCAGAATCCTAAAATATATTGCTTACAAGAAACATATTTGAAGCTGTGAGACACACACAGAGTAAAGGCAAAGGACTGGACAAGAATCTATTATGCTTCAGCTGAAATTTTTTTTAAAAAAAGCAGAGGTAGCAATCCTGATCTTAAACAAAGTAAAAGCAAAAATAAACCTAATCAAAAGAGATAACAAAGGAAACTACATCTTGCTAGAAGGTCCCATAGACAACGAATCAATCAAATTAGAAGAGCAAGGAATAATCTACCTGTCAGATCTATGGGAAGGGGAAGAATTCATGATCAAACAAGAGAAAGACAATGAAATGTAAAATAGATAATTATGATCATATTAAACTGAAAAGCTTTTTTTGTACAAACAAAGCCGATGCAATCAAATTTAGAAGGAAAAGAGAAAGTTGGATCAGCAAGTGTCTCTGATAAAGGCCTCATTTCTCAAATATATATAAAACTGAGTCAAGTTTGTGAGAATACAAGCCGCTCCCCAATTGATAAAATGGTCAAAGGATATGAACGGGAGGTTTTCAGATGAAGAAATCAAAGCTATGTATAGGCATATGAAGAAGTGCTCAAAATCACTTTTGATTAGAGAAATACAAATTAAAACAACTCTGAAATATCACCTCACACCAATCAGATTGGCTATTATGAGAAAAAAAGAAAATGATAAATGTTGGAGAGGATATGGGAAAATTAAGACACTAATGTACTATTAGTGGAGTTGAGAACTGATCCAAACATACTGGAGAGCAATTTGGAACTTTGCCCAAAGGGCAACCAAACTACATAGCCTTTGATCCAGCAATACCACTACTAGGTCTATATCCTAAAGAGATCATGAAAAGGGAAAAGGACCTACATATGTAAAAATATTTATACAGCACTATTCGTGGTGGCAAAATATTGGAAACTGAGGGTATGCCCATCAATTGGGGAATGGCTGAACAAGCTGTGATATATTAATGTGATGGAATGCTACCATGCAATAAGAAATAATGAACATGCACATTTCAGAAAAACCTGGAAAGACTTGTACAAACTGATGCAAAGTGATATGAGTAGAACCAGGAAAAAAAAACTGTTCACAGTATCAGCAATATCTTATGATGATCAACTATGAATGGCTCAGCTTTTCTCAGAAACACAATGATCCAAGAAAACTACAAAGGACCCACCAAGGAAGATGCTAACCATATCCAGTTAAAGAACTTATGGACTCTGAATGTAGATCAAAGCATATTTTTTCACTTACTTTATTCTTTCTCATGGTTTTTATTCCTTTTGATCTGTTTCTTATTCCACAACTGTGATGAATATGGAAATAAATTTTACATGATAGCATATGTATAAACTATATTAAATTGCCTACCATTTTCAGAAGGGGGAGGAAGAAAAGAAGAAAAATGTGGAACTCAAAATCTTATAAAAATGAATGCTAAAACTTTTGTTGATATGTAATTGTGGGAAAAATAAAATACTATTAATGCAAAAAAAAAGTTAATTGGAGATAAAATAACATAAGCCTAACAAATTGGTGGTTCAAAGAATAAATCATAGACACAATAGTTAATTTCATCAAAAATAATGAAAACAATAAGACAACATGAAAAATTGGGGAGATGCAGCAAAAACAGTATTTGAGAAAATTTTATATCTCTAAATTCTTTTATCAACAAAAGAATAGAAAAGCAAAAAATCAAAAATTTCAATAAATACAAAAATAGGAATTCTGGAAGTGAAAGAAGAGAATAATAAACAAATGACAATGACAACAATGAACTAACAAATGTAGGAGCTGATTTTTGCAGGGGAAAACAATGAAATACACCATTAGCTAATCTGATTTTTTAAAAAAGAAAGAAAAATTATGTGAACAATATAAAAAATGAAAAATATTTTATTCCTATGAAACAAAGAACAATTAATTCCAATAATAAGTAAACTGTTTGCAAAAATAAGGAAAGATAAAACCCTACCAAATTCATTTTATGATAAAGGTCTTGACACCTCATATTACCAAGGTTTTGATACCTAAACCATAGACAGACCAGGGAAGGAAAACTGTAAAAGAATATCTCTTATGATTATCAATGCAAATTTTTAAGTAAAATATAAGAGATTATAGCACATATGAAAATGATTTTATGCCATGATCAAATTAGATTCTGTTTGAGGAAAATTATGAACACAAAAAATCACATTAATAACAACAACAAAATGTCATATGATGTTATCAATAGAAGAAGAAAAGGCCTTTGACAAAGCACATTTATTTCTTTTACAGACATAGAAACATAAGAATAAATGGATTTTTTCTTATTATCTATCTAAAACCAATCATTATATTTAGTAGAGATAAACCAGAGATTTTTCCCAATATGGTCAGGGTAAAGCAAGGGCTTGTATTAAAAAAATAATAGAGGGAATATCTATAGGCATTAGCATTTCTGTATATCTTTAACAAAATTCATCAGGAGAACATAAAAATAGAAATTCCATTTAATGTAACTACTGAATGTAGACATTCCCCAATAGTTAAGTGATCAAAGGATACAAACAAAAAGCTCTCAAAAGAAGCATTATAAAATATTCACAGCCACATGAAAAATTGTTCTACATCACTAATAAGATAAATGTAAATCAAAAGAACCTGTCACCTTGTGCAAATTTGTAAAAATGACCCAAAAAATTGCAAGTAAATGTTGAAGGTATTTTGGAGAACAGACACACCAATACAATGTTGGTGGAGGTGTGAAATACCATATCTCACCACATAATCATCACAGATTTTATGCCAATTTTTTTTTGCAAAACAGTGAGATGCAACCATTGTGTGAAACCTTATTTTTTTAAATTGTGCCAATATTACTTAAAAATCATTTATTACTGAACTGTCTTTGGTGCAAGATTAGGATGCATGGAATACTCATGAATATATGTTAAAATTGTATACTGACAATGTGCATGCACTGAGAATTCTAGGCTTGCTGCTTGCAACGTGCAAGAGAGAAATGCGTATCCGTATACCACTGGTGAATACATTGCTGCTCTGTTTTCCTTTTAAGTGGCATGACAAACAGAATTATACCATGTGATGACTACGTGATGAAAGGCTATAAACCAATTTTGGACTGAAAAAACAGGGTGTGACAATTACGCAGTGGTGATGATTATGTAGTGAAATACAGCAGTACAACCATTTTAGACAGCAATTTGCAATTAAAGTGACTAAAATGTCCATACCCTCTGATCCAAAGACTCTGATACTGGATGTATACCCCAAGGAAGCCATAGATGAGGAGAAAGTCCTCATATACACCAAAATATTTGCAGCAGCACTTTTTGTGACAGCAAAGAATTAGAAACAAAGTAAATGCCCATGAATTGGGAAATGACTAAACAAGTTGTGACATGACCACAATGGGATATTATTGTGCTGTAAGAAATGATGTGCATGGTGAATACAGAGAAGCACGGAAAGGTCTACATGAACTGATAAAGAGTGAAGCAAACAGAACCTATATATTTATACATATATGAATATACAGTAACTGTAAATGGAAATGGAAAAAAAAACAACCATACAAATCAAATCAAAATGAACGTAACAATCAAAAAAATTAAAATGAATTTAACAAAATTCCTTTTCCCTCCTTCCCTTCCCTTTCTTTTCTTTCCCTTCCCTCTTTTTTTCCTTTCTTTTCTTCTTTCTTTCTGACATGGTAAATGTGAAAATTATTTTTGCATAACTACACATATTTGTAATGTATTTTGTTTTTCTTGCCTTCTCAGTGGGCCAGGGAAGGGTGGAGAGAGGGAGAGAATTCAGAACTGAAAATAAAATTGAATTTAAATAGAAAAAAAATAGTGGGGTTGTGGACACCAATATTACCAAAATCACATTTTTCAAATAGTTCTGCACCACTGCTTGCTCTATCCCTTTTGCTTAAATAAATTAATTTAGAAAAGTTTTGACTCTTTCTTATCTACACATATTCATGGTAGCTAGATAATATACCCCAGTTTACATAAAGTAAATGTTGACTATGATCAGTCGGTATTCTTAAGATGTCAGAATCAAGAGCCTAATATTATTGGCAGGAGGAAGGAAAGGTGAAAAAAAAAAACAAAACAGGGAAAGGAGAAGGAAAATCTGAATGTGAGCAGAGAAAGGCCATAAGGGAATCTGATCCAGTCATCCTCAATCTTTTTGAATACTGTCAATCCCTATGATTCCAACATTCTTTGAGCCCTTGATCATCACTATCAAAGCTTTGGCAACAGACTGAACCATACTTACCTCCTTGAGTTTCCCACTGGTGAATGTTGGGGAGATAACAGTCCGGATCCACTTCCATCTCTCTCCTTTAACAATGGTGATGGCAGACTCTAAACTTCCATTTAAACCAAAATTCTGAATAAATAGAACCAGAAGTCAACTTGTTATGATGTTTTTCCAAGTAAAGATTTTAAGTCACTTTGAAACTGATAACAAGTTATGTTATTCCTCTCAGAAAAATCTTTAGAGATACAGAAGGAGGCAGGGTAGTAAGAAGGTGGTAAGCAACGATTCTAAGCATCAATGTTTTGAACTTGAACACAATAATTTAGGGCAGGAATTTTTAATCTTGGTGTGTGTGTCATAGATCCCTCAGGCAGTCTAGTAAAACCTATGGATCCCTTCCCTGAATAACGTATTTTTAAAATTTTAATTTTAAAATTTAATTTAATTTTAAATTTTAAATTTTAAATGTATTAAATACATAGGATCACAAAGGAAACCAATTATGTTGAAAAAATGTATTTTTTTTCCCCATTCAAGTTCATAAATCCCCTGAAACCTATCCATGAACTCTTGAACCCCAGGTTAAAAACCTCTGTCTTAAGGTCTCCTATCTTTGGTGTAGGTATATCCCTCATAGGCATACCACATAGGGAAAAGGATTAGGGGAAGGAATATAGATCTGGAAATGAAGTTGATTAAAAGAAAAACAAAAGAAACCAATAAAAATAAGGTTATTAAAAAGAGATTTCCTAAGAAAGGCACAGTTCACTTTTTAACATGAATCAGCCTGGGGAATAGAATGAGGGCTGAATTATTGCCAGAACACTTGAACTTACTAGTAATTATGATGATGATGATGATAGATATTTATATAGGCTTTAAGGTTTATACAGCACTTTAGATTTTTTATCTTATTTGAGCTTCTCTCCAAAACCTTGGATTTTGAGAATCACTCTTGGATATCAGTTTTGAACACTGTAAGCAACCTCATTTTATAGATGAGGAAAGAGACTCAAAGGAGAAAAGTTACTTGCTCACAATCACAACACCAGAGTCATGTGTGGGACTTCTTTTCACTATACCACACAGTTTTTCAAAAAAATGTTAGTAAGATTTACTTTATCATACTGACACCCACTATACTCTGAGTTCCTTGAAAGCAGGGACTCTCTTTTGCCTTTCTTTGCATCCCCAGTGGTTAGCCTAGTACATAGAAGGCAATTTTAAAATGTTTATTGACTGACTGACTGATAGTCAATTAGAATGAGCCCAGGCTGACTTCAAGAAATCTGGATGATTCAAAGGAGATTATTCATAGATACATTTGGTTCAATTATTTAGAAACAATTGTAGGCAGATGAAGTTCAAAGTTTTGATCTTTTTATGGACCAGAGACAGCCTGGTGTAGTGAGTAAATAGCTGGCATTGGAACCAGGAGACCTAGGTTCAAGTCCTGCCTTTGACATATACTAGTTATGCAATCATGAACAAGTCACTTACTCCCTTAAGGCTCCCAGACAACCGTAAAACTTTGAGTTTCTGATTTGCATTAGTGGAGGAAGTTTGGGGTAGTTAGGTGGCATGTGGATATTGGAATCAGGAATACACATATTCCTAAGTTCACATCTGGCCTCAGACACTTACTAGTTATGGGGCCAATCACTTAATCCTATTTGCCTCAGTTTCCTCATCTATAGAATGAGCTTGAGAAGGAAATGGTAAACCCTTCCAGTATCTTGTCAAGAAAGCCCTAAATGGAGTCATGAAGAATCAGCCACAACTGAAATAACTGAACAATAACAAGGAAGTATCTACAATAGGAAGTTCCATATTGATGAAATCATAGGCCTAGAAAACAGGAAAAAGACAGGGAGAGAGCAATTGCCATTTAATTTTACTCTTGTTTCCCCCAACTACTCTTACCAACCATTTGCCAAAGCCCTGTCAACAGGTACCAAGTGAGAAAAACACACTGGCAACACTGCCTTCCTCTGTCTTTTGTAAAGCTGAGAATGATTAGCCAAAGCTCTCATAACGACGGCTTTAACTATCTTTAAAGTGTAGTATAATACAGAGAGCACTGGACTTGGCGGTCATAAAAAGACACAGGTTCATGTTGGGGTTCCACGTGCTGGGCCTGTGATCTTAAGCTCTGAATGAGCCTCAGTTTCCTCCTCTACAAAAATGAAAGCAATAACAAAGGCACTGTGATCTCATAGGAATGTTTCGAGAATGAATGAGATGTGGGACTTCATCTCCAGCCTCCTTGCCTTTCTACTGGCTGTCCCCCATTCCTGTAATGCTCTTCCTCCTCATCTCTATCTTTTGGAATAACTGGTTTCCTTCAAGTTTCAGCTCAAATTTCACTTTCTGAAGAAGGACTTTCTAGATCCCTGCTGCTGTTAATACATTCTTCTCCAAAGTTAATGTCTATCTACTTTGTGCATATATACACATGCATATGTATACACTTACATATATCTTTCTAAGTGTATAAGTATGTATATATAAGTATAATACATACCTAATTATTTACAACTTGACTCCTCAATTTGAATGTAAGTTCCTTGAAAGCAGGAACCATTTTCGTCTTTCTTTAAAATCCTAGTGCTCAGCATAGTGCCTGATAGCCAGTAAGTATCTACTAAATGTTTGTTTATTGACTAAATAAACTCTGTAGACTGTAGTGTGCTCTATAAATGACAGCTGTTCTCATAAAGGTAACAGACTATATAGAGTTACATCACTCTCCAATGGAATGGAAATGATTTTGTCAAGGTCAGGTAGTCCTTGAAGTGGTAAGGACTATCCTTCCTCAAGGGTTGACAAATTCAGAGTCATTGTCAACCGCTGATATTCTCTCATCTTCATATCCAATCAGTTGCCCAGTCTTTCTGATTCAATTTCCACATCTTTCCCCTCTCTACCCCTTAGCTCTTCTCATACAACCATCTCTCTAGTTCAGGCCCTGCATCACTTCTTACAGGGCAGGACTATTGTAACAATCTCGTCATTGGTCTCCCTATCTCAGGTGTCACCTCTCTCTAATCCATCGTCCACCCAGCTTCCAAAGGGATCGTTCTAAAGCATAGGTCTGATCATGTAACTCTTCTGTTAAATAAATTCCAGTGGCTCCCTATTATGTCTAGGATTCAAATGAACCCTTCTGCTTGGCATTTAACGCCCTTCACAACCTGATCCTAACTAACATTTACAATTTTATTATTACTTATCTCTCTTACCAATAAATGGATCTTTGAGGTCCTTACACCTTCCATTTCCATATGGATTCCCTCTTACCTCTATTAGAATCCCAAGTTTCCTTGCAAGTTCAGTCCAAAATCCACTTCTTACATTAGACTTTTTCTGATTTCCTTTGCTGATAGGGCCTCCCAAAAATGCCAATTACCTTGAATTTATTTTGTATACACTTATTCATTTTCCTCAATAGAATGGAAGCTCCTTGAGACCAGGGATTAGTTAATTTTTGTCTATGTACGCTTGGCAGCCAGCAAATAGTAAGTGGTCAATTAATGCTTATTGATAGTTTGAAAACCTGAGTTTTTAAAAACATTAACTATTTGGCTTTAACATGTATATATTTTTTGTATATATAGGTATTGGTCATATTGTGAAAGAAGAAACTGAACAAAAGGAAAAAAAACTATGAAAAAAATAAAGTGAAAAACAGTGTGCTTCAATCTGCATTTAGACTCTTATCAGTTCTTTCTCTGAATGTGGATAGTATTTTCTATCATGAGTCTTACAGAATGGTTTTGGATCATTGTATTGCTGAGAAGAGCTAAGTCAATCAGAGCTGGTCATTACACATTGTTGTTGTTACTATATACAACTTAATATATCTTACTTTAATTTTGTAGACTAACTTAGATTTTTATAAGAACTTTCAATCTCACTGGATATTCTTTTCACCATTGCAATGTAGGCTAAGTATAACTATCCCCATAGGACAAAAGTGAGACAGAGAGAAATTATATAAGTAGCCAAAGGTCTCAAAAAGCAGGCACAGAAACCCAGGTTTCCTGACTCCCACCCCAGCATTATTTTCACCAGACCACAAGGAAGATAGCTGAGCAGAAAACTAATAAATTTTGCATGGGTTAAACTCTCCAGGAAATAATTCAGCATTCCAAAATGTTTCAAAGTATGTTTAATGTTTATATGACATGTTGGGCTGACCCAGGGCAAAATTACAAAGTAGGGAAAGTTTTCCCTGTAGTATCTTTCTCACTCTTATCTCAGTAGCCTTCTCTCCCTCAGGCACTGATCCCGTGTCCAATTTCTATTGGGTCTCCATTTTAGCTAGCTGCCAATTAATCCCCAATAAGATATTAGATGACATGGCTTCAGGTATTCCAGTCTCCCAGTAGCAGTTTGTGCATCTTAACAGAGACTCTGTGGAAAATGGAAAAGCCTTGAAGACCAGACAGAAATAATCATAAATCATGGATGATAGAATTTTAGACACTGAGGTAGGAGGCAGGGGAAAAGATATTCTGGAATGGGAAGAAGGTAACCTTCCTGGTACCCGGCAGACTATGATACATGGGTACAATGTCTTGGGTTCATGGGTAGATTAAAGGGTAGAATCACCTATCAACACTTGTGCTACAGCACAAGTGTTTTGACAAGGGTCAATTTTATCTTTTAAAAAATGATAACTCTTTGGCCATGGAACCCTCATATTGATCTGCCTCAATTGTGTTACCTTCATCATGTAACCTGCTCTAGTCAATAGAAGTTATTACTGTCACCAAAATCCTAACTTCCATTACATATCTGAATATTGTTTAGTAATACAGACATAAGGTAATGCTTTACTTTCTCTAAAGCACTGCCAGTTCCCAAATGCTGCTGCACAAGCTCTAATTCCAGCTTCCTTTTAAAATATCTGGTCATGTTCATGATGGATCAAGCCACTAGAGCAAGATATAGCTGTTTAGAAAGGGCTTTGTACATATTATTCCATAAATGATTTTTTCAGCCACCCAAGACCATGATCAATCTGCAATCTTAGGGAAGATAGCCAACATAGTAAGAAAAGAAGATTTTGAAGCAAAGTCACCAAGGTTTCCTACAGAATTGGAAAGCTTAAGTTAGAGTATTTGAATGGCATCAAGACAAAAAGCATCCTAATATACCTCTGTCTACCAGTAACTTACCCGACGGTTAGTAAAGAGTGTGTAAAACTCTTTCACTAGAACTATTTTGATGAAAGCTGGATCCAGAGTGGCCAAGATAGGTAGTCTGCCATCATAAAACCTATAAAGAGCATCAAGATAGAGAAAATTAAACATGTATTTCAGAGATCTGCCCAGAAAGTTAGCTTCTTAAGTCAACAAAGCACAATATCTGCCTTTGGAATGCTCAATCTTCTTGAAATTAGATGACAAAATAGCCACCACCAATACCCTTTGCATCCCCTTATTCATTCCTGCCCCATTCTCAGTATATATTTTACAATCATAGATTTAGAGCTAGAAGGAACCTCAGAGAAAGGTCATCTAATCTAATCCCCTGATTTTATGAATAAAAAAAAAAGGCAAAGAAATATTAACTGACTTGTCTAAGGTCAAACCAGTAGTATGCATCAAAGGCAGGATTGAAAACCAGATTCTCTGACTTCACAGCCAGTTCTCATTCTACTGAACCATACTGTCTCCATACTGTAATGACAATAATTCAGCAAAACTTCATCATTATGTGGAGGTCACCCTAGGTTCTTGATGACTGTACTAGCAATATTCAAGCACTGCTAAATCCCCCATCAACCTAGAAAATCTGTAAGTAATGGTCTGGTCTGGCTACAAATTATGGGTCTGTCATGCAAAGATGAGCCTAGCTTAGTTTAGAGAGACCCATCACAAAACAGCTGGCTACCAGGTGATGATTTTTTCATCTAGGCAACTCTAGCAGACTAGACTGGACTAATAAACTGCAAACCCTAGATTACAGATGTTTGGTGATAGTCATCAGTGGAAGGAGTCCATATCTCATAGTCCCTTATTAATGCTATTTTCATGACCACATATGTTGATACTTAAACCAAGGGGTTCTTAACCTAAGTTCTATGAATTTGTTTTTTCAAAATACTTTGATATTTTGAATTTTTTTGATGTTTTAAAATTTCAATATAGTTTATTCCTTTGTATCCCATGCATTTTATTTTATGCATTTAAAAATGTTATTATGAGAAAGGGTCCATAAGCTTCACTAGACTGCCAGAGGGGTCCATAAAGCCTAAAAAAGGCTAAGAACCATCTGCTCTAAGAGAAAAATAGTTCTCATTTCCATAGTCCTTTAAGGTTCACAAAAGTGGCCTGAACTTTGGAATCACAATACTTGAATTCAAATCTCACCTCTGATGAGACTAGTTGTGTAATCTTTGGCAAGTGGACCTCATCTGTAAAAATTGTGTGCCGGATTAGATGACATAAAAGGTCTCTCCTGGCTCTAAATCTACAATCTCATGAACCTTGGGAAGTAGGTGATGAAAGCACTAATATTGCTGTTTTCCAGATGAAGAAACTAGGGCACAAAATGGTGAAGGGACTTGTTTGTGGCTCACATTACTAGTAAGAATTAGAGGCTGCACTCAGACCCTGGATCTCCTAAGTCCAGAACTTTTTCCCCCACTGTGTATAATGGATATGTCAAAGATAGAGGTGGTACCCACAAATTGATGAAACAGTAGAAGGAGTCTTTGATTTTAAGTCAGAGGACCCAGGTTCAAATTCTGACTCTGAGACTAATTAGCTGTGTTACTTTGGGCAAGTTACTTAACTTCTCTGGGTCTGATTTCTCATCTGTAAAATGAAGACTTGGACTAGATAACCTCTGAGATTCCTTCCAATGCTAACTCTATTAATGTAAAATTGATGAAGTTACTCAAGGGCAAGGATTGTCATTCTAGTTTTTGTTCCACAGTACCTGGCACATAGGGACCAAATAAATGCTTGTTGATTAATTGAGTAATCCTATGAAAAATTGCCATGACTCCAGAGGGCATTTCAGAAGTAATCAGGTGCAAGGGCAGCTAGGTGGCACAGTGGATAGAGCACTGGCCTTAGAGTCAGGAGGACCTGAGCTCAAATCTGCCCTCAGACGCTTAACACTTATTAACTGTGCGACCTTGGGCAAGTCACTTAACCCTGTTGCCTAGCAAAAAAAATAAATAAATAAAAGAAGTAATCAGGTGGCCTGGAAAATATCTACCCCCATGACTAGTTGCTGCTTTCTATTCCATTGTCTGTTTCTGCCATAAATTCATACTCTTTCGCCTCTGGTCACATGTATTTCTCAGCAGGCAGCTCTAGAAATTATTAACTCTAGCTTTGAAGGTGTTTTGTTTTCTCGGTACAAGGGGCTATAGAGAATGTATGTTACAACACCAAAGGCAACCAGAGGCAAGATGATTTAGGGAGCTATGTCCAAAATCTAATCATTTTTTAAAGGAAAAAAAAAAACTGAGTGAAAGGGATTATGGGAAGATGGCAGAGTAGGTCAGAAAATTCCAGGCTCTCCAAATGTCCTCCACAACAGACAGAACACCTCAAAATAAATATAGAGTTTCAAAAATAAAGGGGCAAAGCAGTTGTCCTCCTAGGACAACTTGAGAGGACCTCAAGAAAGACAGGACCTTCAGGGATTGATTTGGCCTTAGTAAAATGCAAACACCTTCAGGCCATGTCCATTGAATCAACATTCAAGTCCTGGGGGCAGCTGGTTAGGAAGCAGCCTAGGCCTCAACAACTTTCATCTCAAAGTCTCAGGAACTTTCCCTTCCAGAACTTTCACCTCATTAATTTTTAGTAGGGGGATCAGATAGCTGAGTAGGAGAAGACTGAAGGATCCTCTGTGTCTCTGGGCACCACCTGTTGTGGTGCTGACCAGATGTAATCCCAGGCTGTGGCTGTGGGCAAGGAGGAGCAAGCACACACCGGGTGATCTCAGTACTACAGGGAGCAAGAACATTCTGTGGAAAGCATGGTTGGGGGCCCTAGCTGTGGCTTAAGGTAGGAGAGCAGTGCCTGAGATTGGACCTTTGGACAGAATTCAGAAAATAACAGTAAGGAGGACCTGAGGCCTGGGACAGCATTACCCATAACTCCGGATTAAAACCTGATTATAACAATAAGCTGCTAAAAATAAAATAAAACAAAATAAAAATGAGTAATCAAAGGAGAAAGAATTCAATTGTAGATAGCTAGTATGGTGTGAAAAAGATCTGAGTTCATATTCAGAGGAAGATAATGAGGTTAAAAAGAAGTCACTCCTATCCTAAAGAGCAACATCGAATCATCACAAACCTCCCCCCCCAAAAAAAAAGTTATTGGAAGAAATTAAAAAGGACTTCAAAAAATCAAGTAAGAGTGCTCTTGGAAGACCTTTAAAAGGACTTCAAAAATCAAATAAGAGAGATTGAAGGAAAATTAGGAAATAAATAAAAGTAATCCAAGAAAATTATGAAAAGAAAGTTAATCAATCAGGAAAAGAAATTCAAAATCTTTTTTCTGTATTAATAAATTTATTTATTTTTAGTTTTCAACATTCACTTCCCCAAGATTTTGAGTTCCAAATTTTCACCCCATCTCACCCCTCCCCCCACCCCAAGATGGCATGCATTCTGAATACCTCTTCCCCTTAATCTGCCTTCCCTTCTATCTCTCCCCCCTTCCCTTATCCCCTTCCCTTTCTATTTTCCTGTAGGGCAGGATAGATTTCTGTACCCCATTTCCTGTATTTCTTATTTCCCAGTTGCATGTGAAAATACAAGACTCAAGTAGAACATGAAGAGGTAAACAGGAAAGAGAATTCATAAGAGACTTATTAAGGTTGAACTGTTTACATTCCTGCATGGAAAGATGATATTTGTAACTCATGAGACCTTTGTCAGTATTAAGGTAGTTGCAGGGAAAAAATTATATGTATGTATATAGATAGATAGATAGATAGATAGATAGATAGATAGATAGATAGAGGGCACAGGGTGAGTTGAACATGAAAGGGTCATATCTGGAGAATAAAATTAAGGGGTGAGAGAAGATTGTACTAGGAGAAGGAGAAAGGGAGAGGTAGAATGGGGTAAATTATCTCACAAAAAAAAACAGAAAAGAAAAGGCTCTTACAGTGGAGGGGAAACAGGGAAGGTGAGAGGGAATGAGTGAATTTTATTCTCATAGGATTTGACTTAAGGAGGGAATAACATGCACACTCAATTGGGTATGGAAATCTGTCTTACCCTATAGGAAAATAGGGGGGGATGGGGACAAGAGAGTAGGGGAATGATAGAGAGGAGGGCAGATTGGGAAGGGGGGTAATCAGAAGCAAAGACTTCTGAGGAGGAACAGGGTCCAAAGAAAGAATAGAGTAAATGGGGGAGGGGGTGGGATAGGATTAAGAAAAATAGACTTAGTTTTTCACAGCATGTCTGCTATGGAAGTGTTTTGCATAACTGCACATGTATAACCTATATTGAGTTGCTTGTCTTTTTAATGAGGGTGGGTGGGGAGGGATGAAAGGAGAAAATTTGGGACCCAAAGTTTTAAAAAGACATGTTTTAAAAAAAAAAAAAAAGAAATCCAAAATCTAAAGGAAGAAAATCAGTCTTTGTAAACTAGAATTGGTCAAGAGGAAGCAAATTATGTTACAGAATACCGAGAAATAATAAAACAAAATTGATAATATGGGGGCTTTAGGAATTTAATTAAGTTATGGAAACAGTTGACAGGGCAACCTCCTCTGTTGTGCTCATTTCTGTGTTCTCCTGGCTTCATGAATGTTTTCTTCCTCACACCTGACTGACAACATTTGTAGTGAGGGAGGGGTCATGAATTCCACAAACCTATGAGCACCAAATACTATAGCATCTAAATTTTTAAAAGAAAAGTTGAATGAATTAAAGGTAGAAGTAAATAGTCCTATAACAGTGAGAGACTTTAACCTTCCCATCTTAGAACTAGATAAATCTAACCAAAAATGAATAAGAAAGAAGACAAGAAAGTGAATAAAACTTTAGATAAGCTAGATATGATAGATATCTAGAGAGAATTTAATGGGAATAGAAAGGAATACACTTTTTTCTCATCGGCCATGGTACCTTCACAAAGATTGACCATATATTAGGGCATAAAGATTTTATAATTAAAAGCTGAAATGCAGAAATATTAAAAGATCACAATGCAATAAAAATTATATTTAAAAATGAACCATGGAAACATAGATTCAAAAATAATTGGAGACTACACAAACTAATTTTAAAGAATGAATAGGTTAAAGAACAAAGCATAGAAACAATCAGTAATTTCATTAAAGAGAATGACAGTAGTGAAACAACATATCAAAATCTATGAGATATAGTAATAAGAAGAAAATTTAAATGCTTATATCAATAAAATAGAGAAAGAGCAGACCAATTAAAAATCCCTGACTAAAAACTAAATTGGAAATCCTAAAAATAAAGGTGAGACTAATAAAACTGAGTGAAAAATACCTTGAATTAATAATAATTAGGAGTTGGTTTTATGAAAAAAAAACAATAAAGTAAATAAACCACTAGTTAATACAATTTTAAAAAGAGAAAAAAAGCAAATCACTAGTATTAAAAATGAAAAGAGTGAATATACCAATAATGAAGATGAAATAAAGGAATTATAAGGAGTTGTTTTGCCTCATACACCAATAAATGTAACAGTTTAAGTGAAATAGAAAAATATTTACAAAAATTTAAACTGCCTAGATTATCAGAAGAGGAAATAGAATATCTAAATAGACCTGTTTTAGAAAAAGGAATTGAACAGGCCATAAATGAGCTTCCTAAGAAAAAAAAATCACCAGGAACATACGGATTTATAAGTGAATTCTACCAAATATTTAAAGTCCAACTAATTCCAATATTAAATAAATTTTTTTGACTAGTAGGCAATAAAGGGGTCCTACCAAATTACTTCTATGAAATAAATATAATACTGATACCTAAACCAAGAAGAGTAAAAACAGAGAAAGAAAATTATAGACCAATCTCATTAATGAATATGGAAACAAAAATCCTAAATCAAATACTAGCTAAAAGTTTACAACAAGATATTACAAAGATTATGCATTATGACCAAGTAGAATTTGTACCAGGAATGCAGAGATGGTTTGATATAAGGAAAAATATGAACATAATTGATTACATCAATAATAAAGGAATAAAAATTATATGATTATATCAATAGATGCAGAAAAAGCTTTTGATAAAGTTCAAAACTCATTTCTTTTAAGATACTTGAAAGTTTAGGTATAAATGGATTTTTCCCTTAAACTGATTAAAAAAAAAGTATTTACCTAAAACTCCCAGCTAACATTATTTGTAATGTGGATAAGTTATAAGCCTTCCCAATAAGATCAAGTGTGAAACAAGGGTGACCACTGTCACTACTATTGTTCAATATTGTATTGGAAATCCTAACAATAGTAATAAGAGAATAGAAGGGATCAGAATAGAGAATGAGGCAATAAAACTATCACTTTTTGCAGATGATGTGATGATATATTTGGAAAATCCCAAAGACTCAACTAGAAAGTTAGTTGAAACAATAAATAATTTTAAGAAAGTAGCAGGATAAAAAGTAAATTCACATAAATCACCAGAATTACTATATATATCACAAACAAAACCTTGCAAGAAGAGATAGTAAGATATACCCTATTTAAAATAACTCTAGATATTATGAAAGGCCTGGGAGTATACGTGCCAAAACAAACCTGGGCACTATATGAGCAAAATTATAAAATGTTATACAAATAAAATCAGATTTAAATAATTGGAGAAATATCAATTGTTTATGGATAGATAGGGCCAATATGATAAAAATGACAATTCTACCTAAACTAATTCATATATTCAATGACATCTCAGTTAAATTACCAAAAATTTTTATTTAATTAGAAAAAATGATAACAAAATTCATTTAGAAGAACAAAAGGTCAAGAGTAATAAAGGAACTGACAAAAAAATATAAAGGAAGAAATACCAGATCTTAACGTATATTATCAGGCTGTGATTATCAAAACCATCTGGTAGTGGCCCAGAAATAGAAAGGTAGATCAGTAGAACAGAGTAGACATATAATTTACTGCAGCAAATAAATATAATAACCTTGTATTTGACAAGTATAAAGACAAGTTTTGGGGAAAAAGCATTCATTTGGTAAAAACTGTTCAGAAAACTAGAAAACAGTCTGGCAGAAATTGAACATAGACCAATATCTTACACCATTTACCAAGATATGGTCAAAATGGACACATGACAAACATAAAGAGAGATATTTCAAGAAAATTTTAAGAACAATGAACATATCACTTATCAGACTTATGGATAGATGAACAATTTATGAAAAAAAAACAAGAGATAGCACTGTGAGGTGTAAAATGGGTAATTTCTATTAAAACCTTAAAACTTTAAAAAGATTTTGTACAAATAAAATAAATGTAGCAAAGATCAGAACTTTGCCAAATCTATAAGAATACTAGTCAATTGATAAATGGTCAAAGGATAGGAACCGGAATTATTCAAATGAAGAAATCAAAACAATTTATAGTCATATGTAAAAAATCTCTAAATCATTATTGACTAGATAAATGCCAATTAAAATAACCTTGAGATGTCATTTTACACCTATCAGATTGGCTAAAAAGATTGAAGGGGAAAGTGACAAATGTTGGATGGGATATGGAAAAATTGAGACACTAATTCACTGTTGGTGGAACTGTGAACAGATCCAACAATTTTGGAGAGCAATCTGGAATTATACTCAAAGAATTATTAAACTGCCTATACCCTCTGACCCAGCAATACCACTACTATGTCTGTTTCCCAAGATGATTAGGGACAAAGGAAAAGAACCTCTACGTTCTAAAATATTTAGGGCAGCTCTCTTTGTGGTGGCAAAGAACAGAAATTGCAGGGATTCCCGTCAATTGGGCAATGGCTGAACAATTTGTGTTACATGATCATGATGGAATACTATTGTGCTATAAGAAATGATGAGCTTGGTGATCTTAGAAAAACATGGATAGATTTGCACAAAATTAATGAAGAGCAAAATGAGCAAAACCAAGAGGAGGTTGTATATCAGTAACAGTAATATTGTTTTAAGAACAACTGTGAGCAACTATGTCATTTTGACTATTATAAATACCTAAATAACAAAAGAGACTTATAAAGGAAGACACTATCTGCATACAGAGAAAGAACTGATAAATAAAAGTATGTATAGAATGATTTTACAGCTATATACATATTTTTGTCTAATGGTAGCCATCTCTAGGATGGGGGAAGGAGAAGAAAGAAAAAAAGGGGAAAAAAGTTACATGATAACTTTATATAATATATAATGCATTATAGATTTGCAATTTCATGTGCAAAAAAAGAAAAGGTAAAAACTGGCCTTTGCTGAAACATTTGCACCACAGCCTGTGGCAGTTCTCAGCAAGGGGCTGTGCTCCTCACTTGCTGGTGTAACTGATGGAATCTGTCCTCATTACTACACAGAGCCCTCCCTTCTCCTTCAGTATATAGTGTGCTTGGCATCATATCCTTAGCTGTAGCTGATAATTGTCTTATAATTATAGAATCATAGGATTTAGAGATGAACAGGTTCTCTGAGAGCCTCTAGTCAAACTCTCTTATTTTACACAGCTGGAAACTGAGTCTCAAGTGAGGGAAGTGACTATTCACCTATCCATAGTCACGCAGGCAATGAGCCACAGAACTGGGATTCAAATCCAGGACCTGACTTCAAATCTAGTGCTATTTCCAAAATGCCATTCTATAGCTGCATAATCTGTTTATTGAATTCCTTGTTATCTTTTAAGGTGAAGCCCAGACATCACCTTTTCCTTTTGACCTATACAAACAACATTTCCCCTTGTCCCTCACACAACACCTGCTATGTAAGTCTCTTATGTCTTAGATTATGAGTTCTATGTGGGCACTTTATACTTACCCCCACATTTTGCCATATTTCTTAAAACATTTCTGGTCAAACTGCAACAATCCCTGAAGAATAATTAAAACAGATTAGGCAATGGGCAGGACACCAATTTACTGCACTGGCATCATGAGCACCATACCAAGCATCAATATGCTTGAGCTAGAGTGATCATCTGGTCTAACAACCTTGTTATGTAAGGAAAAGCATTCTAAGCTCCCTGGGCTCTTCATAAATGGCTTCAAAAGGAAATGAAAGAGGAAGTCAAGAAACCGAACTGTCTTACTCATTTTTCATCTCACATAGGATTTGATTTTTTTAAATTTTTAGAAAATATATTCAATAACAAGTTTTTTTTAATTTACCTGTCCTGCTCACCACCTTGTCCCATTGAGCAAATTGAAAAAATACTCAATAAATATCTATATAGTTAAGCAAAACAAATTCCCACATTAGCCATCACAAAGGATTTGGAGATGAAATGGGCTTAGAGATCATCTAGGCCAGGGGTTCTTAACCTGAGGCCCATGAATTTATTTTTTTTTAAATATTTGATAACTGCTTTTTAATATAATTGATTTCCATTCTAATACTATATACTTTATTTTCTATGCTTAAAAACAATATTCTGAGGATGAATGTACAGACTTCACCAGATTGCCAAAGAGGACCATGACACACACACAAAAAAAGATTAAGAATCCCTGGTTTAGGGGCAGCTAGGTGGCACAGTGGATAGAGCACAAGCCCTGGAGTCAGGAGGACCTGAGTTCAAATCCAGCCTCAGACACATAACACTCACTAGCTGTGTGACCCTGGGCAAGTCACTTAGCCCCATTGCCTAGAGAAAAAAAAAGGGGGGGAAAAAGCTTCACTTAACCCCAATTGCCTAAAAAAAAAGAATCCCTGGTTTAGGCTAACCCCTTAATTTTACTAAAGGGGGCAACTACCCATGTATTTCTGTGGGGCCCTGTAATGAATAGCATTGGCACAGAATAAAAAAAATGGCCAGTTTAACCCATAAATGGACACAAGCCAGCAACAGAAAGATCATTACAGAAATGAGTGCTAAGTCAGTGTCTGTGCCGAGCACACAGGGTCCAGAATGTAGGAGGTGTATATTGTAGTGGAGGGCTAGTCTTTGAGTCAAGGAAGACCTGGGTTCAAGTGCCACCTCTGACACACACAAGTATACTCTATGTCTCAGTGCCCCAGAGAACTCCCCGAAGCTAAGTTTGTAGAGTAAATATTGATCTGCAATAATAGAGGGAATTTCTTCCCAAGGAGTACCTTATACCAATAAAATCTCAGGTCTGGTCTCCTATTCAAAAATCTGAAAAGCTTAGGGCATACAGAATATAACCCAGTGTACTGAAAGGAGGAATACTGAGATTCTTTGGTTTGGCTCCATTTGAGAGTAGGAGCTCTGAGGCTTTTTCCTCCACGTTGATGGCTGAGGAGAAGATGATGAAGATGATGGCAGGAAGAATGAGAGGATCAGATGTTTGGGGCTACAAGCGACCTTAAAGGCCTTCAAGTCTGACCCCTCGTTTTATAGATGAGGAAACAGAAGCAGTAACTTGCACAGGGTCACACAGGTAGTAAGAGTCTGAGGCGAAATCTGAACCAAGGTTTTGCTGACTCCAAGCCCAATTATCTCCAATAACTGTCCACATTTATATACTGCTTTAAGGTTTATAAATTACTTTATTCCACATTATGGAGAGGTAAACAGTGAAAGTATTTTTATTGTTTCATTTCATAGATGAACAAAGAGAGAATAAGAAAGGTTCAGTGATTTAGCCCTGACTTTTTTTTTTTTTTGGCCTCTTAGTTATGTCCAACTCTTCATAACTCCATTTCTGGTTTTCTTGGCAAACAAACTGGAGTGGTTTACCATTTCCCTCTCCAGCTCATTTTAAAGATGAGAAAACTGAGATAAACAAGGTTTTAAATGGCTTGCCCATGGTCACAGAGCTAGTAAGTATCTGAGGCTGAATTTGAAATCAGGTCCTCCTGACTCCAGAACCAGCAGGCACTCTATCCATCTGCTACCTAGCTCCCCCTTAGCACTGATTGGCTTAGGGCTAAACAGCTAGTATGAGGGAGAATCAGAACTCAAGCCTAGGGCTTCTGACTCCAATACCACTGCTTCTGCCATTACACCGTGCTGATTCCAGGTATTCAGATGCTGGTCTCCTTTGGCGGCTGCAAGAAATTAGCCTTCCAACCTTGCCTCTGGTTTGTTTTTGTTGTTGTTGTTTCTGTTCCTATCTTCCTGCTGCTAAATTTTCCTTTTCAAGGTAGTACATAATAAAGTGGTAGTAGGGAGATATAAAAAGTAAAGAATCAGCAGAATGGGACTCACAATCACGACACTGATAAGGAAGGAATTTCTTCTGTATATTCATACTCACATTGCGATATTCAAGAAATGTCCCAATGAATGGAAGAGGCCTTGGCCCGGGAATGCCCAGCTTCTTAAAAAAGCTGTATGGCCGTATTCCATATCTGTGAAGGAAAAAGAAAGTTAATAAACACAGACAAATAATGACAGCAACAACAACAACTAGTTTTTGTTCGATAGTTATCGTATATACAATGTCATTAAGTATTCTATGTATGTGTGACATTGCATATAATTTATATTTATATACAATTTAAAATTTTGCAAAGTCCTTTATAAATACTATCTCATTTTATTCTCACAACAGCACTGGTAGATAAATGCCAATATTATCTTCATTTTACAGTTGAGGAAACTGAGGCAGAGAAAGATTTAAGACTTGCCCAAGGTCATTAGCTAGTAAATATCTGAGGCTAGAATTTAACTCAGGTGTTTTCGACTCCAGGTTCAGAGCTTTGTCAGTCCACTGTACCTCCTAGCTGCCTACACAAATGTTCTTCATTAAACAAATTCCATAACCAAACTGCTTTTTTCTTTCTTTTTTTTTTTTTAAATCCATCATCATCTACTATATACTGACATTGGGAAAGTTTGAGTTTTTTGTGGAACTTTTAGTTTGAAGGAAATGTTACTAAATTATAGCCTTCTGAAAAATATTGAGCACAAATGAATGGTCTCTATATTTGTGTCAGGGTATAGTTTCATTAATGATTACAACTCAAATGTAAATCCTTGGGATTAAAACTTCAGCAACCTCCCAGGTTGTTTTCCCTCTTTTTTCAAGTTCAGTATTTGATTTATAATCTTCTTCTCTACTTCAAACCCCACACCTATATTTAGGAAATTCCATTCACATGTTGATATATCCTCAAATATATTTGTTTTCCAGTTCATCAACTTCCTCAACCCCTATGATCTGTACCTTCACTTAGCTTTGCATGGATGTATGGGGATGGTCAGCATCACCCACAAGTTCCTTTTCCACAATTCATCATTCTGAAGTTATTCTCTCTCTCTCTCTCTCTCTCCCCCCCCATGCCTGAACCTTCCCATTCTTCATCTTTACTGCAAGCTCCAGTCCGTCTGTTCTACCCAGTTCCCTCAAGCGATCACCCTTGCTCTGGCCTCACTTTTCTCCTTTTGACCCTATAGTTCACCAGTTGAACTTATACTACATTCCACCTTTGAATCCCTTGCATTCTTGCTCTATGGCCACTCAGTCTTTTCCAAACCCCATTCATGGATTAGTTTCACCACCTGCCTTCTTCCCTACACTTGTGGAAATGAACAGAGATAGATGTCACATAGTTGTTCTGACTGGGTCCACTGGACATTTTTGTTATTCACTAACAACTTGATGCTCACTACTAACTTGTCCTTAATTGATATTTTTTTAATATTCCCCACGAGGGGTGTTCCAAACATTTTTTTCTCTCCTTATACTACCCTCTTTCTCCTCTTTCTGTTTTTTTTTATTTCATTGAAAAAAAAAGAGGCCATCATGAACTCCTCCTGCCTAATTCTGTGTTTCCAATCACCTAAGTATCACTCCCCCCTTCTCTCCTAAAATACTCTATTCATGCCCCTGATCCCATCCCCTCTGGGAGCTTACTACTTTCTTTATCTCCTCTCTCTCCCTAATTTTGAATCTCTATCCACAGGTTGCTTCTCTCTTGCCCACAGATAGGCCCAGCTTTTAAAGTCTATCACTCGACTCTAATATCACTTCAACATTTCTTCCTATATCTCTCTTCCCTTTCATAGAGAAACTCTAGAAAAAGCTGTTTACATTGTCTCTACTTTTAAAAATACTTATTTATTTTAAGTTTTCAATATTTATAAGATTTTGAATTCTAAATTATCCCTCTCCCTCTCCTCTCCCCTCCCCAAGAGGGGTTGCAATCTGATATAAGCTATACTTGTATGATCACATTAAACATATCTCCACACTAGTCATATTGTGAAAGAAGAATCAGAATAAAAGGGAAAAACCACGAGAAAGAAAAAAAAAACAGATTATGGTATGCTTCAATCTGCATTCAGACTCCACAGTTCTCTCTCTGGATGTGGATAGCATTTTCCATCATGAGTCCTTTGGGGTTGTCTTGGATCCTTGCATTGCTGAAAAGAGCTAAGTCTATCAATATTAGTCATCATACATTGTGGCTGTTAACTGTTTACAATGTTCTCCTGATTCTGCTCACTTCACTCAGCATCAGTTCACGTCAGTCTTTCCAGGTTTTTCTGAAATACACCTGTTCGTCATTCATTATAGCACAATAGTATTCCATCACACTTGTTTAGCCATTCCCCAATTGATGAGCATCCCCTCAATGTCCAATTCTTTGCCACCACAAAAAGAGCCACTATAATTATTTTTGTACATGCAGGTCTTTCCCCCTTTTTATGATCTCTTTGGGACACAGACCTAGTAGTGGTATTGCTGGATCAAAAGGTATGCACAGTTTTATAGCCCTTTGGGCATAGTTCCAAATTGTTCCACAGAATGGTTGAATCAGTTCACAGCTCCACCAACAATGCATTAGTGTTCCAATTTTCCCACATCTTCTCTAACGTTCATCATTTTCCTGTTTTGTCATGCCCCAATCTGCTAGGTGTGAGGTGGTACCTCAGAGTTGTTTTAATTTGCATTTCTCTAATCAATAGTGATTTAGAGTATTTTTTCATATGACTATAGATAACTTCAATTTCTTCATCCGAAAACTTCATATCCTTTGACAATTTATCAATAGGGGAATGACTTGTGTTCTTATAAATTTGACTCAGTTCTCTATATATTTTAGAAATCAGGTCTTTATCAGCATTGTCTCCACTTTCCAACCTCCCACTGGTAATCTGAATTCTGAACCTACTGCTCAATTGGAACTATTCTCTCCAAGTCACAAACAATTCCTTTATTGCTAAATCCAATGGTCTTTTCTCAATTATCATCCTAGATTTCCTCAGCATTTTACACTATTGACCATTGCCTCCTTCTAAACACTCTCCTGCCCAAATTTTCATGAAACTTTCAAGATCTGTCTCCTAACAGTCTGGCTAATACTTCTCAGACTCCTTTGCTGAATGATCATCCATGTCCCTATGCCTATAAATGGTATAACTCAGATTTTGGTTTGCACTGGCTTCTTTTTGTTCTGCTCTCTCTCTCTCTCTCTCTCTCTCTCTCTCTCTCTCTCTCTCTCTCTCTCTCTCTCTCTCTCTCTCTCTTCTTTCTCTCATTTCAATAGCCTCCATAGTGTAACCATCACCTCTGTGTATACTTATACTATCTAAGTATACTTATTTAGCTTTCATTTCAAGAGCTCATCTCTCAAATGAGCTCTAGTCTGATAACTGCAACCAATTGCTGGATATATCCCTATCAATCCAAACATTTGCCAAACTGGTGTAGTGGATGGGGATGGGGGTGGGGGTTGATTCAGAAAGACCCAGGTTTGAATCCTGCCTTGGATACTTGTTAGTTGTATGATCCTGGAGAAATGTCTCAACTTCCTTGGCTCTCAGTTTCCTCATCTCTGGTCTAAATCTGTGATTCTATGATTTTTATGCCTAACCTCACCCCTGCCCTTAACTTTCCTTTTTTCTGCTGATAGATCCACCATTTTTCCAGTGACCTAAGTTCCCAACATAACAGTCATTCCTGACTCTCCCCTCATTCTCCCCACCTGCCCTATATCCACTACCTGCCAAGATATTTCAATTCTATCTTTACAACATTTTTCCTTTGCATCACTTTCTCCTCACTCATACTATAACAACTCTAGGTCAGCCCCTCTCATTTGGAGAATTCTACCAGCCTACTCATTGATCTCTACTAACAGACCTGGGGAATAGGTACTGGGGAAAGGGCACTATCTCTGAAGAAGGAGGACCTGGGCTCAAATGCTTACTTACTACCTGTATGACCTTTGTCAAATCACTGAACCTCTCTGCATTTCAGTTTCCTTATCTATAAAACAAGATTCCTTTCAAGTAGGGCTTGGTTCATTTTTCTACTTGTATTCCTAGACCTAGCACAGTGCCTGGCACATAGTAGGTGCTTAATTAATTGATTCTGAAATCTTTTTCAGCTTTATATCTATGAACTGTGGAAGAATAGGTAGAAAGGGAGAGAGAGCACATTCCAAACACTGGGAACAGTATTAGAAAAGGCAGATACAGGTAAGCACTGGGCACATTTGAGGACAAAGAGTAGTATGAAATAAGGCTAGAAAGGTAGGGGTATTAATGCCAGATTGTGGAGGGCCTTGAATACTAAGCAAAAGAGTTTGAACATACTCCAGAGGTAGTAGGGAGCCAATGAAGAGTTTCTGAGGAATGCTATAGCCCAACCTATGTATAAAGAAGACTTTTCTGGAAGGGGTATGGAGAATGGATGCAGTCAGGGAAGAGAACTGGGAACAATTCTGTGGAGGCTATTACTGTTCAAGTGAGTAGTAATGAGAGATGGTCCAAGGTAGTGGAAGTGGGAATACAGAGAAGAGAATGGATGGATGGATGGATGGATGGATGGATGGATGGATGGATGGATG